AGCTTGTCCATCCTGAGGACAACTGTGTGTGATTTTTTCATTGCATGTTAAACACAAATTGCCAGCAACGACTGCATGGCAATATATGCAGTGGAAACTGCTTAGAATCTGGGTCTGCTCCTGCTCTTTTTAAAGCTTCAAAGCTGCCTGGGCTATTGGGATTACTGACTGAGCCCAAGCAGCTACATCGTTCTACAATGCATGCGTAATAATGTCCACTGTTGGTGCATAAATACGAGTCACAAGATTTCATCCAGGAATTGAATAATGAACTACAGCATCCCATTTTGTCCAATCAGTAGAGTGCTTAGTTATCTCTCGGGGGATCATGGATCTTAGGCTACATTAAATTCAGCTGAACATGACATTGCAAGTATACCAGGTGCCATAATGTCTCTTCATTATGGACTTTATTAAATCAGCCAATTGTCGGAGGTGCAATGCTTCTTCTCTTCGTATGGCTTGGCCATGCCCCAGTGGCAGCTTCCTTTTGAAAGAAAATCATAAGTAAGTGAGACAAATCTTGTGGTGGAAAATTCTTCAGTAGTTAAGGATACACATGTCCTTATCTACCCACCTCTTGGAATTTAATGAGAGGTCAATTTTTATTTTATTTATTTTTATTTATTAAAACATTTTTATGCCGCCCCATTCACCGAAGCCTCGGGGCGGCTTACAACATTAAGTTGTAATTCAACTGTAATTCCACTGGATTTTCCACACCCTTTTGCTATCTAAAAGACTGATTCTACAACACAGGAAGAATGAACTGCCACCTGCAAGAGCATAATAGGTGAAGGATTTAATGAAACTTTTGATCTTTGAACATTTTGGTTTTGTATTGCACAGTGAGCTATATGCCACAGAGAGCCAGTGTAGTATAAGAACTGGGACACAGGTGATCTGGGTTCTAGTTCTTGCTCAGCCTTGGCGCTCACTGGGTGTCTCTGGGCCAGCCACAGACTCTCAGCTTGATCTACCTCACTGGGTTGTTGTTGTGAGGATAAGATGGAGACGAGGAAGAGAATTATGTAAGATGCCTTAAGTTCTTTGGGTGGAAAAAAGGGTGGGGTATTAATATAATTAATTAATTAATACACCAGGAGTCTGATCATCTGAGCCCAGTTCCATTATTGTATTAGGGTACCTTTAAGTAGTAACCCTCTGTACGATGGATGGAGCACAATAGTGTAAAGAAACAGTAAACACAGATTTTCTGGGGCTAAACAATCAAAGAGCATCTTCAGTTTATTCAGACATACAGGAAATACATGCAGCATGTAGGGACCCCCCAAAGGGGCTACAAAGATGGAGTCGGTACAGGCCACTTTTATAACTTGTCAGCTGCATACACAGGTCGGGGCAGGGTGGAGGATCACCAGGGCAGTTTGCTAGAAGAAAAGAAAGTGGTACAGGCTTGCATATCTAAAGTGTAGGTGGGGAGCAAGGCTTGCAACATGGATTCCTGATCAGAGCAAGGTTCCCACCTTAAGTCTAAGGTTCTTAGAGTGTCAGGCTTTCAGCTGCCTTATCATGGAAGAACTTTTACTCATTCAGAGAGAGAGAGAGAGAGAGAGAGAGAGAGAGAAAGGGAGGGAGAGATCTCCTGCCTGCTGGCTCCCCTGCCAGGTAGGTGGATCTGGCCAATCACTTCCCCCGCCCCTCGCTGCCACCTTCCCAACTGTGCCGGAGGTCATCAGCCCTGTTTGCACAGCCACATTAACAGAGCCTGTGAAGTGAGGGCCTCATTCCTCCTGGTGGAGTCCCCTGGAATATTGCCAGGGGAAATGAAAGGGAAATGCGAAGAGGCAGCAAAGCATCTGGGATAACACCAGGCTCATGGTGGGTGCTTGAGCAGCCCATCTTCTGAGAAGGAAGTGGAGCTCCCCAAAAGGGAACCATTAAGTCATCAAGACTAGGCCCTCTGGAGAGGTGGCACTGCCTGGAAGAGGGAGCTGTGCCTGCGGGGCAGAGGCTGAAGAACCTCCTGATTCCCGCGGGTGTTGGCGGAAGTAGCAGGCAGATGGGGCTTGGGTGAGCAAGAGTGCTCACTTGTTAAGGGGAAGGAATGCCTCAGGAGCAGGGTCCTGAAAGGGACCTCTGATGGGCAAGGGTGGCTCAGCAGGCTCGGATGGTGCAGATCTTCCATGTGTTCTTAACGAGTGCTTGAAACAGCCACCAACACTGCTCTTCAGCTCCTGGAACTGCTGCCTTGTTTCCGAAACCTTGCCTTGCTGCCAGATGCTCTGTGCTCCTGACTGTGGGATTGTCTGTACCAGACTGCTCCACTGTGTTTGTGACCTCTGCTTATGCTTGGACTGCTCCTGCCTGTCTCCTCCTTGACTGAAACTTGGTGCCTGATCATTTGCCTGCACTGTGAGCTTGCTTTCTGGACTGCCCTTTTACCCCATCTGTGGCTGTCAGTTTTGATATGGACTGATCCAGGTTTAGCAATACTACCTGGTTGTTAGACCAAGCACAGCAATTCAGGAGAGATGCGTGCAATTTTCTGCAGAGAGCAACTTTCCTCCAGGTGTGATGCAAGTGCTGACAGGGCATTTCTCTGTCTTAAACACTAGAACTTTGGTCACAATCCTGCTAATCTCAAGGTAGCCTTTTCAAGATTCCAGGTGGTCTTAACACAAGGCTGATCTCAGCCTTGTGTGGCTAGCCAAAAGCAATCTTGACTCTGCTGGAGAGTTTTCTTCCCCCTTTCACTGTTGTCATTAGATTTAGAGTCTTTCAACTCCTTTGTTGTCTTTGTTTAGCCTTTTAAAAAGTCCAGGCTTCAAGTTGCCAAGGGTTCTGGTGCTGCCAGCCGATTCCTCTTTGCTGAAATCAATTATTTGGTTCCTAGCTACCCCAAGGCAAAGCATCATTTTCCCACTGAAATTTTTGGTTGCATGACAAGTACAGTTAGTCCTGGACTATTGGCTATTGTACCCTTTGGCTCTTGCTCTGCTGAAATCACTCCAAGTCATGGAGCCCCAAGTTCTGCCTGACACTTTCGTAACCACTGCATTTGCTCTGATCTTCCAGTTCCGTACTCTGCCTGAAGCTGTGATGACCCACCCAGAGCTTCTTTAGAGATATCCTTCCTTTTGCCAAAGCCTTTGGAGTTTCACTGCACACCAGAGCCATCTGCAGAGAATATCAAATGAGATTTCAGGAAAGATGTCTTTCAAGCCCTCCTATCTTCTGGAGGTACCTCCACCTACAAATTGTAGCCTCTAGCTCAGTACCCACTTTCATATGGCATGCTTCTATGAGGTGCAGAAATTTGGGCCATTTTTGAATGAGCTTTTGTTTGTAAGACCAATTTACTACACCTTGTCCTGGTCATCCAGTGAGAAGAATCATGGCCAGACTTCCTTTCTGGAGTAGATTGTTTCCTCTACACGTGTGCATGTGCAAACACAGCTATCAGGTTAAAGCTCCCAGAGAGGCTGGCTAAATACACTGGAGCCCACTTTTTCTGCAATGGAGAGCAAAACTGGAAGGGCGAAGACAACCTGGGCTGCAGACAAGTGGCTAGAAATCAGCATGAGTGAGGAGGTCGCATATCAGCAGCACACATTCTTCCTTCCCCTTTTATTGCAAGCTGGAGGACTAGCTCTGATAACACCACTGCTGCTGAAGAGCTGAAGACCAGTTTCTGTGAGATCTTTTCTCATCACTGCTTCTCCAGTTCCATTCGGCCAACCTCCTTCCCTCCCTTCTTCTCATCAGCATTAAGGATCCAATCTGCTTATCTCTGGCCTAGGCAATTCCCTTAAAGGTGCAATCCTAGGCATGTCTGTATCACCAGGTTATCTCTGCCCAGGCATGGCTACAACCAAAGAGCAAAGTTGTCTTAGCTGGATGTGCAGTGAGATGACACAGAAAGGGAGATATTCAGCATGTTACCTGAATCTTCTACGCACATCCTTCAGGGTTGCTAAGCAGATCGGGCACACTCCACTTCCATTCTCTTTCAAAATGACTACATGGATGCGTGCAATGCATCTTATTAGTCTTCTGAGGTTTTACGATTTCAGTTCTAATCCCTGCTGAAATCCATCCAATTCCTCCTACAATGCAATTTTTTTTCATGGATCAGGAAGTACAGGGGACAAAAGCAATGGTACACACATCTTGCATTTTGTGTTGGTTCTCTTTGTATTTATTCAAATGTCATTTCTTTTTAAAGGCTTTTTTGGAAAGATTTATCTCACAGATATAGGTGTTTGGAAGGAACACTGTGGGTAGGAAAGTGTGTGTAATAGCAAGGGAGAAAGTTGCATAACAGCCTCCTGAGGGCTAACCTCCTCTTCTGGAATGCTGGAGGTCTGGCAGGTTGTACAAATTCAACCAGCAGAGGTTGTTTGAGGACTAGGGGACCTCCAAATAACTGAAATAAGCCATGGATTGCCTTACCTTTAAAGAAACCCTGCCACCTTGAGCTTGCACAGCACTGCAAGCCAGGCTTCAAGCAAAAGTGATGCCCACAGGGGCCTGGTGCAACATGGCAGCCCCCGTGGGTAAATTAAATCATAGTGGGTCATTTGTGTGGTGTGTACCAGGTCAGTGCGACTCACTCTAAGTGGAGCCCCTGAAGGCCACAGCCTTCAGGAGAGGACATACTTTTGAGATTGCTTCTCATGTGAGGAAATTACGTATGCATAAGAGGCTTTGAATGAAGCAGGCAAGGCATTTCATTTCAGTTGGCTGCTTTATTAACTCTTTCTGCACATTTCCCAATGAAGGCTTAAAGTTTCTACAGCAGAAAGGCCATTTCGGAGGATGTCTGTAATAATGCAGACACTTTTCTGTCTTCAGCAGAAGGAAAAACTGGCACGTGTTGATCGGTTTCGGAGTGTGTGTGGCTGTCCCTGAGGAAAGGACTCTGGCGGGAGCAGAGGCTAAGCAGGACTGAAGTGAGAGGTGGGCCAAATCCTCCAGCTCCGGGGTCCCAGTGCAGCTGCCTCTGGACAAGCAATGATCTTGTGCCCAGATTTGCCTCAGTGGACCAAGAGCTCCATTCTGTGGCTGCCCTTCTTCCGGCAGGTGGGCGCCGTGCCCTGCTCCCCAGCTCTTGCCATCACATTGACTGTGATCTTGCTTTGTTTAAACCTCACTGAAAACCTGTAGGAGGCAAAAGAAAAGAAAAGGCAAGGCTAAGGGAATAAGAGATCCATCCTGGCTCTAGCAACTTACCCAGAGAGGATAACAACTTACCCTCAGGCTTGTACTATCTAAACTTCTGCAATTTGCATCAACAAAACAGAAATAATTTACAGAGGCTGTAATCTTGCAACAGCTTGTCCATGACGTCACAACTTTTGTTCAAGTTTTGCTGAGAACTTACCACTGTGCTTGCCACTGAACTTTGGGGTGAACTTTGCCGTCTTGCTTAGTCTCACATGGCTGGTCTATTAGTGAAGCTTATTTGCAGTCCTTTTACCACAGAGGCAGCTGGGGACTTGAGCTGTATTATTTTGTTATTAAACATCCTGCACGTGTCCTTTACTCCAAGTCTCAAGTTTTGCCTTTCAAGTCCAATCAAGTCTTGAGTCATTGCAAGAAATTTTCAAGTCAAGTCTCATTTCAAACCTGCCCATCCCCTTGCCCCTGCCCCCTTGAAACTCCCTCCCTCCCACTGCCTCTGCTGTGTTCATGCCTGCCTTCCAGGATATTCTGCCTCACAGTACGCTCTGGAGTGACTCAGGCTCGGAAATCACAAGTTAAGTTGAGTCACTCACTCACTGCTCCCAAGTCGAGCCTGAGTCAAGTTGCTGATTTGACCTGAGTCAGACTTGGGAGTGAATTGCTCAGCTCGAGTCCCAACCCTGCACCTGTTTAATGGGGAATTATCTTGTTGCTGCTCTTGTTAAAAAGCTGGGAGTCAGAATTGCTTTGCGAGATACTGCAAATTGCCCAGGCAGCAAATCTGCAGCTACCTTCAGTCCATTCCTGCTGTACATAACCAGCGCACATTCCAAATCGGGTAAATTCACAGGTGGATTAGTTGGTGAGGACTGGCTTTAGCCCTCTGTGCATCCCTTTCCTTCCCTGCCTGAACCATTTTCCATAGCTTTTCAATTAACAAAAGGAAAGGAGGGCAACAGTCCTGAGAAAGAAAAACATCCAAAGAAAGGCCCCAGTGCTTGACCCAGACTCTCTCCTCCCTCCCTCCAGCCTTTCCCACTTTGCCCTTACTCGTCAGTCACTTGGAGCTTCAGTTTTTGCTTGGTAACCTCCAGCACGGTCTGATGGAGCCGAGTGACCAGTTCAATCAGGTGGTCGCTGAGAAACAGGAAGTCCCCTTTGGTGCCCGCTGTGGAAGACTGCCAGAGGAAACATAGAAACATAGAAATAGAGCGAGTCAGAAGGGGTCTCCCGGGTCATCTAGTCTAACCCCCGGCTCCAGCCAGCTCCGCTCATGACATGCCCACCATGGAAGAGAAGCAGCAACCTGTTTCAGGCACTTGCGTGATGCTTTTTGACTGTTGCTCAGTCTCAGCTAACCACTAAACAACTTATTTGCTTGCCCAGTCTTTTATCAGCTTGGTGCCTGCTAGATATTTTGGACAGCAACTCCCAAGATTCCTGACCATTGGCCATGCTGGCTGGGGCTGATGGGGGCTGCTCCAAAAGACATGCTTATGCTGCCTGATAAGGTCTGTTACCTCTGCACACAGCTGAAAACCGGCCCAGTCATGCCCAATAAGGGGCACAAGACCTGAAGCCCAACAGCTGTGTACACAGGCAAGTGGGGAATGCAAGTGCAAATTCTTTCCGATCCTCCTTTGTTCTCCCAGACCAAGAGGATCACACCCTCTCCATTCTATTGAAGCTTGCAGGGCAGGCACACGAATCTTATTTCTGTGCTGATGATGGAAAATATCCCTCCTCTGAGCCAGAGGAGAGCAGACGAGCTTAAGAGGCTGTGTGGTCTCTGACCTAAGGAAGCGGAGGGACAGCAGCTCAGGAGGAACTGGTGATGTGGGGTGGGGGGAGAGGCATTTGCCGTGGCCATCCTGCAGCATCTGCTGCCTGAGATGGTTGCCTCCCTCTGCCTGGTGAAGAGGCCGCCCCTGCTCAGAATGCAATCCAGTGGGGGTGCCTGTAACCTTCTGAACTGAGATGCTCTAATTTTCTGGGATGCTTCCTGCAAGCTGCCCTTCCCCACCCAGTCTGGTCATAGGTGGTGCCCCTGGCAAAGTTCTCCCCACTTGTCGGGTACCTCTTTGATATGCAGGACGAAAAACCCATCTGAATAGCGGCTCAGGGAGACACTGTCGATGTCGCTCAGGGTGATCACTCTTTTGGCCTGATCAGCCTTGTCATCCGAGAGGATGATGTGGCTCTTGGTGAGCAGGAAAGCAAGGCTGTGTGTCTGGAACAGGGAAAAAAGGGAAAGACAGCTGCCTTCCTGACTGTCCCATAGGAAGAACATTAGAACAGCCCTCATGCGAGTAAGTCACATTGCCACCATGAGCACCTTGTAGCTCTTCCAAGCAGAATATTTTCCAATTGCTTGTCGCCACACAGTCCCCGGGATTTCACAGCATGCTGCCTCTGAACAGGGAGACCCTTTTTTTTTTGGCTACCGTGGCTTGTAACATTGTATTTGGGACATATTGAAGCTAGAAGCAAGGCACTGCTTTCTTTGGTCCTTAAGAACCGCTTCGTGGGATGCTGACGTTCAGGCTATGTTGGCCTCTGCACTCAGAGAATGAGTTCTTTTTAGGATATGCTAGAATGCCTTTTTGTAAAGAACTCCAGAATAAATTATGCACAGAATTATTGTGCACTGTGCTCAAGGAAATGTGCCACCAGTTGCATGTGTCAGCGTCTGGGTTCACATGACATGGTAACACACTCATGCTGTGCAAACCGTTATTCTCACATAACTGCAGTCCTCTATCAGCTCCATTGGCTTCCCATTGAAGTCCGGACCCAATTTAAAGTGCTGGTTATGACCTATAAAGCCCTAAATGGCTTGGGACCAGGATACCTAAAGGAATGCCTTTTTTCCTATATGCCCTCCCACCCCCTGAGATCGGCAGCAGAGGCCCTCCTCCGGGAACCCTCTTTGAAAGAGGTCAGGAGACAGAGTACTCGGAGGAGGGCCATCTCTGCGGTGGCGCCCCAACTGTGGAATGTGCTCCCCAGAGAGGTCCGCCTGGCACCGTCATTTATGTGCTTTTCGGAACCAGGTCAAGACCTTTTTATTTGACCAATATTTTAAAGCTAATTAATTTTAATTGTATAGTTATTCATTTAATTCATTTTAACCATGTCATTTTATACTCAGTCATGGTGTGGCCAATTTATTTAGTTTAGGACTGGATATTGTACTTGGGCACCCAGAGAGCCCTCTGGGCTGTTGGGGTGGTATATAAATGCAATAAATAAATAAAATAAATAAATAAACCTGGGCTGATTCCCCCAAGTGGTTTGTTTGGGTGCCCACAAGCTGCCCCAGTGACAGGGTCTTGCATCCACAGTGGACTGTTGTGTCATCCAGCCCCAGGTGACGGACCCCATTGTGGCCAGTTGCTTGGCAAGAACAGCAGAAGACGCTCTCTGCCCTTGCCAAGCAGCTCCCAGGGGACTGTGGGTGGCAGCCACTCGCGGTGCACGCAAGCAGCACGTGGGGGAAGCTGGCCCAGCTTTCCCCCCTCCCTATTGCAAGCGTTTCTGTGCTCACTGCAGCTATTTCCCCTCTTAAGCTTTTTTCTCTTGAAATCCCTGTTCTGACACCCATGGGCCGTCCCCTCAGAATGCTCCATTCTCAAGAACAGCAATTTACATTTTCTCACAGGAATGAAAAGGGAAAAGTCACCCATACATCAAGCCCTGCTCTTGTTTCGAGCCCTCTCTGTTTGGAAGGGGGGGGGCAGATGGGGATAGTGAGAGGTTTTTTACCTTTCCGTTACCTCGGTTCACTTTCTTCAATCTGTCGGCCATCACCAGCTTTCCACTGACGGCGGCCTGCTGGAGCTTCCGGTATTTGGCATTATCCTTCAGACCCAAGTAGTCTGCTCGGAAAGGCTGTGGGATGCTGGAAGGCACAAAACATGGATTGCAACCTGCACCGATCCTGACCGGTTGTCCGGGAGGGTGTCACCTCCAACCTTTGCACTCACCTCACGGGGTACAAACTTTTCTTGCCCTTGAAAAGTTCGCTAGCACAGAGCTTGTCCTGTAAGGCTTCTTTTTTCTGGGGTGGCAGCTGATCCCGATATTTCTTACACTGTACCAGGAAAGGGGCCAGTATGTGTGTCGCGTGGCAGAGAGAAACAAAACAAAATCAGGCATGCAGGCCAGAAGAGATGCCTGGGAGACGCTCGGAACCGCAGGCAACAGTGTCACAGTGGCTTTGAGTCGACATCCTCCAGAGTCGATGGCTCAGTTCATTTGACATGCAGCCCACTCGGGCGCTACTGGATGAAGGGCTCTCAGAAGAGCCCTGGCAACTGAGTCTGGCAAGCCAGGTCATGATCCTGCCTTCTTGCTTAGAGGGCAAGAGGAGGGGCCAGTCCTGGAGCCCAAGGCTGGCCGAGGCGTTCTGGCGTTTGAGAGGAGACAGCTAACAGTGCCAGCCCATCCACCCGTACCTGAGGCAGGAAAAAATCTGACAAATGGCCCTCCTGGCCTCTGGCAGTAAAACTGCACCAATAATGCATTTCATGATATTCCAAATCAGCTGCCTTAGGTGGCCACCTCACTCTGCCTAATGGTAGGGCCAGCTCTGATTTTTGCAGCTGGATCACAAAGCTAGAGGGCCAGATAGGCCTGACCACATCTAGAAGGTCACAGGCTGGTTTTCATTTGCAAGGTATTCGAGGGGGTCTGGCCCCAGCAAGCCAGACAGCCAGATCTAGCCCAGGTGGATGTCTGGAGGTCCTACAAACACCTCCAACACGAATCACCCAATGATATTTGAAATATGACTTGGCTCATCCTGGGCCCACCTTGATCACCAAATGGTGAATGGACCTGCCAAGCCATACTCTTTTCAGCTGTAATCCTGCTTCCTTTTCACACTAGCCCAGCCTTTTTGAATCTTGACTGGGCTTGCAGGGCAACTCTGCTGCAGCCCGTATGCTATCCATGGTGCTGAGGGCAGTGGGAGTGGCAGCCATGAATGTGGCCATGATGCATCCCAATGGTGAAAAGTGATGGAGGTGGCCCACTGAACGTAAGGAAGTCAGTAGGCAAATGGAAGCATCGAGAATCTCCTCCCTTCTTTTGCTCCAGCTGGTCCATCCTATCACAATTTATTGGAGGCCCCCACCAGTATTCAAACACATTTAATTTAATTCCACATTTAATTCTGGAAACCCAACATACATAGGCAGCCCTGCCTCTAAGACTCCCAGATAGGTCAGGAAGGATAATAGAGGAAATGAGCAAGGATCCAACTCTAACCCTCCAGTGGTGGAAAATCTTCTTCAGCTCTTTATCTGTTTCTGCAAGAAACTTGTATGGGACAGGAGGCCAGCTCTGGTCAGTCACTCTCATAGAAGGGAGATTGCTTTTCAGGCTCAAAAAATATTTCTTCAACTATAAGACAGAAAGCAGAAATACTCAGACATCCAAGAAGGTCACTTATAGATTATGTTGTGATGATGCACTGCATTTACAATAGACAGCTGTGGCTCCTTCTTCACTGAAAGATCTATAATGAGTTCTTTCTAGCATCTTGCATTATAGCATACAGATCATGTTCCCTCATCCTGCTAGGTGTTGTCAGCTCTGTTACGGAGCCTGATGACATACAAGAGGATTAGATTATGTGACAAAATCCATAGCAAGGATGGCCATGCTTCCTTCTTCACAGAAGACAGTTCTCTGGTTGAAAGCATCCTCTCTTGGGAGGGTTTCACTGTTCAAGTCTGGTTTAAAGAACCATGAGGCCAGAGAGTCGGGAGGGAGCTTGTAGTGGCCCATCCCAGTGAACACCTGGGTAGCAGACTCAGCAGGCTGCACAGGTCACCTGGTCACAGTCTTCCCCATTATGGTGTGATATGCTGTGCTTGTATTTAGATTGCAGCAATTATTTCCTCACATGCAAACATCTATATCCATTAGCACATATAAATCATATTGCATAAATCTTATGCAAATCAGAAACTTTTTAATGATGCGCAACCTATTTGATGACCCACAGTCCAGTCTGAAAAATAGCATGACTCTCAAGCCTATATAAAGTTGTTCATCCTGTTCTAAAAGCAAAAGCCCTGTGATATTTTGGGGTTCTCTCTAACCAAGCTAGGTTCAGCACCATAGATTGTTCTTTAGACATTCAGACTGAAATCTGGAATGGATACACTATGCATTGGAACTGCTGGTAGTTACAAGAGTTACTCTTGTCCTTATCACAAATATTGTCACTTTACTCCAACATTCCTTACCCCAGGAGAATGGGAAAGGGCTTGATGGGGGGAAAAAAGGGTAAAAAAAGTAAAGATACTTGAATAATTGCAGTATCAGTCAATCTTAGTTTGCTTTCTAATGGCAAACATGACAGTGTTTTGAGGTACCTTAAAAGTCTTATGGTGCATGTCCTTTGTCCCACCCCCACCCCATCCTCTACACATGTAAGTCTCCAAAATCAGAGGCCTCCATGCATTCTATTCCCAAAATGAGGCATGGCAGCAGCCATTTCAACTAGATATAGATTTTCAAGAAGATGCAGAGTGCATACATAGGGGGGAATTGCAAACAGGTGGGAAGGGAATTAAATGCAGAAAGCAGTGACACTGAAAGTAGTCACAGTATTTAAAGTAGACACTGCATTTGGCAAAAGACCCCATTCTCTATTCCAGAAGTTATGTGGGGACAGACTTATGAAATCTTTGTTATTTTTAACTAGAACCCCATTATCCACCAGCTGGAGCTCAGTGCAAAAGATGTCAGGGGTTTCCAGACAGAGGGTTCCTAGTGTAACCAATCAAAATCCTTTGTACAGCTATTCCATTCTTTTCTCTTTCACAGTTTATGGAACGAAATGGGGGCAAGGAAGGTGAAAGCCACCCAGAGAGTTACACCAACCAGAGTGGGAGAAAAAGTGTTAGGTTATATCAAAAGGAGCCCTTGTGAAATTCTGTGAATGAGGCAGGGTGATGGCACAAAAGGAGTTTCACCTGGAAGCACCCATAAAATGCTACCAAGGGTTGAGGGAGCCATAGCCCAAACCATCTGGAGAGCCACAAATTGCCCCCCCCCCCCCGCTCCCCCAGTCTACCTATTGAGTGGCATTGGCTCTCTAGAGTTTTAAACAGGACTCTTTCCCAGGCCAGCCAGTCTTCCCATTGCCTTGCCATACCTCTGTTGATAGAGGTATTTTATATTTATATTTATTGAGCTGTATTTCTGTAAGTCATGTGGACTGGGGACAGTATCCCCTCACAGGGGATAAGTTACCACCCCTGACATCCATCATACACCCTGATTCAAAGGCTTAAAAGCTCTTTCTTTCTTCTAGCTATACTTTTTCCATCTCAAAACTGTGCAGGGAGAAACTTACCAGACTGAAGTAGATAAAATTGGTGATGCACTTTGAGGCCCCAGAGCGGAAACACTTCTGGTATTCTTTTCGTGTCTGTGAGAGGACCAAAAAAACAAATCATGCTTAGCAACATTCTATAACCTGAGTGACATACAGAAACACTGGAAGCTCTTCTCTCTTGGGATGGACGGTTGGTTCCTTTTGTTCAATCCTGTCTGATTCACTGTGCTCTCCATGGCCATGCTGGCTGAGGATGATGGGAGCTGCAGTCCAGCACATCTAGAGGGTGCCAGGCTGGGGAAAGCTGATGTAAAAGCCTGATGTAAAGGTCCGTATACATGGCTGTATGGCTCCACTTTCCACCAGGCTTTCCTTACCTAATGCTTGGGATCAATTAAGGGATAGCCTCTTACTGTAACTTCAGTTCTAGAGCCTGCTAGCATACAGCCAAACAAAAGAACACTGAACTCTAATTCTGGATGCTACTGACAGTGAAGTTTTTGGGTGTGATTAGCCTTAGATTAACAGATTAACAGAAGATTAGATTAACAGAAGATATTAAAGCTATCTTGCTACACGCCATGAGGCTTCCAGTTGAAGTAGCCAAATCCTCTGAAGAGAATAAGATGCTTCCAGGCTTCTGCTTGGAGAAATCTGTGCCACGAACTGAAATGAATGTTAATGGACATTCCCACTGGGGTGGTGATGTGCACTTTTTAAAGGCAACCTCTGAAGGGCTGGTCACTCTAAGAGTCCTGGGTGAGCACCTGCAAGGCAGACCAAGAGCAGGGAATACAGTTCACCTGGTCACAGCCTTCTCCACTCTGGTGAGACATACTGAATTTCTGTTCCAGATTTTGCATCTATATCTTAATCCTTGCTGCCCGGTGGCACAATGCAAAGAGACCAATAGCAGGAAAAGATCAGCACCCTGACTGAATCGCAACTCCAATAGCACTTGGGGAATGGCATGGCAGCACTGTAGTCCAAACAATATCAGTTTGTTGCTGTTAGTACACCCTTTGCTTCTATTCTTGAGAAAGGGAGAACATTATCTCTCTTCCCCTCTCCACTGTTCAATTTCAAACAGGGTTCAGACTCTGGAGAGGAGGCTGAAGGACGCTCTAGGCTAAAGGGATAAGAAGGCAGGAAGGGGCAAGCAGGACACATCCAGCTGTTTTTCCACAGTGGCTAAGACAATAATCGATATGTAACAGAACAGACTAGATCATAATAGAATAATAGGTACTGCAGCCTTCCCCAGCCAGTTTTGCTGGGTCATTTTGGTTGGTGATGCCGGGAACTGCAGCTGAACAAATGTGGGGGGACCAAGTGGGGGAAGGCTGAGGTATCACTGAAATTCAAGTGAAAGGTAAGAGGAAAGGTGGTACATGTATGTTTAAGCTGAAGGGTCTTTGTACATTTATCATCTCTCAATGCACCTGAAATTTATTCTATCAGTCTGTATTGTTTTTTCACAACATCACAAGCAGTGATTATTGGGCAGATGGTTGGTTTGTGGAAACTGGACTTGTTAGTTTTCAATTCACACAATTCCTGCTGTTTTCTGCCATAAAAGCAGAGCAGCCTGGGCCTGACAAGGAAACCGCCTCTCAAGATCCGGGACAGATGCCACTGCAAGATTCCTGCTTTGGCCTCAGTTCCGGGTACATTCTCTCAACATTCCAGAGAAATTATACTGATGGAGATGACAAAGACTGATTTATGGATGAATGTGGACAGCAGGCAACTGAGGCAGCACCAGTGGGAGAGATGTACATGGCGTCTGGAGTAGTATTTGTTACCTGATAACCTTTCCAGTAAGCAGAAATGACAGTGGCAGCCTGAGTGCGGCGTCTCTGCTCCTTCAGCTCCCGTAGGAGCCTACGAGACTGAAGAGGAAGGGAAGGGATAGAGAAAACACCAGAGAAACTTTTCAGAGGAAAAGAGAAGCAGAGCAAAACCATGGAAATGCATTAGAACCACAGAACCCCCAGATGCAAGGGTGGGCCGCCTGTTGACCTGCCCTTCCCATCAGCCTTAACTGGCACGGCCAATGGTGAGGGAGCATTTTGTAGGCCAAGAGGCTAGAAAGCCAGTAGTCACCCACCCCTGACATTGCGGGACAAGATTTGAAGTGATCAATCAAGCAATCAATTCAAGTTTTAAATTGACGAACCAGAGGAGCAATTTTAATCAACAAGAGCAAATTGGCACCTGTGAGGCTGAGACAGGGCACACCTTTATTTTATTTTGAGCCCATTTTGGTTCTGTGCTGTTATTCTAATGGGGGATGACAAAAGAAGTGATCAGAGCTGGCCTTTACCTTCCCCCAATGTGGAAAGTTTTATTTATTAAATTCTGTGATTGTACGCCTCTTTGGTGTCTCAAAATACACCCGTTGAGGGTGTTTTTGCAATATGCAATTTTATTTAAGTACAACGGGTCACGTTAAAAGACTGATGATTCATTCACTCAGAAATAATTGGTTGACAGCCCATCCCATCTTGGTTTTTTACATCTGCTCTGCAATGATGGCATGCCACCATTGCACAGGCAGGAGTGCTTTCCCTCATGCATCCTCCAGTGGGAGAGGGCCTTGCAATGTGACACTTATTCAGTGTTCATCTGAATGCACCCAGAAATGCATGCGCTCAGGAGAAAGCAAGCAGAAAGCAGGTCCCAGAACAAAAAGGAGAAAAACGCTACTGGCATCTTTTTAGGAAGAGGTGATGTGTGCCACCTACACTCCTTAGCACTGGCAGTTTATGAATATCTGAGTCATGCAGCTGGAGCCCTAAGTCTATCCTGTTTCTCTCTGGCATAGTAGGAGGTTGGATGGCAATGGCTGACTCTTGACTGATTTCAGCTACCATGTTTGCACACACGCATATTTTCTGAGGCCTCAAAAGAGCTTAAGCTGCCAGCTCAGCCCTGTTCTTTGCCCCCACCCTCATTCTGTGCCGCCCACTTCTGCAAGGCTGCGCCAGGGCAGAGATTAAGCCAGCACAACTTTACTGGTGCAGAGGGGCATTGCCAGGATCCTAAGGACAATAAATGTCATTGCAAGCCTACAAGTGACTCCATTCCTGGAGGGATTTCCTGCATAGCCAGAAAAAAAAGGTCCCCACTGCATTTTATATTTAGCATAATAACCCCATTAGCCTCAATCCGGTATCCATGGAATGGGCAAAAGATAGGGCAGGCTTGCTGAGGAAGAATAATTCTGTTGCTCACTCATTACTAACACCACCACTGCAGAGACCGCAGAGCAGCAAATCTAGGTTGCCGTTTGATGCACAGGTGAGGCAAATCCAGGCAACAGCCATCCGTTCATGCTCATCTGTTCACACGTAGTGTCTTAGTCCCATTTATTCACTCCTAAACTAAATGCAGTTGAGTGAACACATATTCTGAGGCTTTGAAAAGTGCATATCTTAGCAGATGGCATCACATAAATTGGTGGCTGAATATCCCCAGGGTACCACCTTTTTGTGCTGGTGGGCACATTTGGATATTTTGGGGGATATTTTGGGTTCTCTCACAAAACGGCTGCCATGTTGGTCATGGCCAGCCACTTTGGCACCAGTTTTCCAGAAGGCAAAATGGTAAAGCTAAAAGAAAAGTAGCTTGCCCAAAAACTAAAGTTCAAGGCACAAATTGCCAAAGCACAAATGACTTTTCTAAACCCACAGTTTTCTGCTCTAGCGCTTTTGCCACAGAAAGCAAAAGCCTGATGAGCACACATAACACAGCCAGGTTCTGTGCTTTATTTTGCAGCATGCCTCCATGCCTCTCATTATCAACAAAATTTTGAAAAACTTTAAAATATCAGGAGGGGCGTGGGAACTGGCAGGTGCCATGCATACTGTCTATGGGAGTTATACTGGGATCCCCCAGGATATACCACATCAGTGAGAGTCATTAGAAAGCATACTTGTTTAAACTAGTTTTTTATTTCAATTATTTAATGCAGGAGGTATCCAGCTCCAGGGGCCCTGAATGGCTCCTGGGACAGCCTCTTGTCAGATGGGACCACACGCAGGGCTCCTCAGCTGGGAGCTCCATCTGACCAAAGCCCCCAACCCCATGACTCTTGACATCATCCGTTTCCCAGCTTGGCAATCCTTTCTGTAGCACTGAGCTGGGAAAATCCACCCCTTTTCTGTAGTGCAGCACTGGAAAGCTCTTTGTTTTCCAATGGATAAGAGGTTTCTCATAGCTTGGCCCACAAAAAATGTGCTAGAGAGACACCGCCATGTGCTAGAGAAACTCCCATGAGGCAGGCCTTGAGCATGTGTTCATGCAGGTGAGAAGATGGCAGGCTGAACAAAGAACCTCCACAGGACAAAGGTTCTCCACCCCTGATCTGATCTGACCCCTCAGGTATGTATAGACCTGGCCTAAATTTTGCTTCCTGGTTTCATGCCTCTCACCTTCCAACCTCGGACATTGGCCTGGATACGAACCGCTGATGCTTTCATCTTTGTGTATTTCTTCTTTTGCTGCAAAATAACATGTTCACCTTAGTAAAGAGGCAGACCATGGACAGAAAAGGCCTCCTTTGTGTCTTACAAAAGAGTAGACAGAAGACTTGTGTGTACATGCTACAGTTTTGCAGTATTTGCCTGGTTTTATCCTGATGAAAGTCCCATCTATTCCCAAGGTTATGTTAGGAGTAAGATGCTGTTTCCCTCAGGGAATCTTCTTTCTAAAGGAGACACCAAAGCCTCGAAAATATGTAGGAGCAGTTAAGCCTCAGAGGTAATTTGCATTGCAGACCTATCTTGTTTTATACTGGTTTAACTGTTACGGCTTCATCTGAAGAATCCTGGAAATCATAGTTTGATGGAGTTGCTCAGAACTTCTATTAGGAATTACTGGGGCCTCTCCTGGTCAGAGGTCCCTGAGAAGAAAGAATAACTGTTAAACCAGTAGCAGTCTGTGGTGTAGATACGCCTTTGGTACTTGGGGGTAAAAAAGGACTGAACAACTGAGAGCTAAAATATACCCTCCATTAAATGTGTCATGAGTAGCTGATTCTTAATGTTTTATTTACCTTGGTGCAGGGGTAGGCAAACATCTTGGGCCATTTGGGAACTTGAGAAAGTGTCTTGGGCCCCACCACAAAATGGCTGCCTTAGGAAGCATGGTGAAGAACTAGTAACCTTCTTTGGTAGCTCAGTGCAAGGCAGAGGTGGAGTCCCAACATACTAAACAATTATCTTGGTGGAACTACAGTTTTCAACACCCAACAGAAATCCAGAATTTCCCAATAATCCTAGCTGCTAGTAAGAAAATTAATTAATTAAAAAGTGGGAGGGGGATACTACCTTGGTGGGTCCCCAAAAAAGTATTCAATGGGGCATTTATGCCCACAGGCCCTAAGTTTCCTACCCCTACCTTAGTGTGTGTGGGGGTCCCTGATCTGCACTGGGACCCCAGTGCACAAGTAGGGATGGTTTAAGCCTTCCCCACCAGCCTTGCTTTTCTCATAATTTGTCCCTCTGCCCCTGCAAAGTTGACACTCCCCCTTCGATTGGTGCCAAAATGGTGAGGATCAGCAGCCCTCTCTGCACTGAGCAAGCCCTAAGAGGTGGGTCTAGCCCTATTGCTCAGGAGTGCATGTTAATTTAACACTTAAGCTGCTCTGCCACGGACAGTTAAGTAAAAACACAGAGAGCCACAAAGCTTGCCTAGTCAAGAAGTGCCCAGGCCCGTGCAAGCATCTGCCTGCCACTGCCCACTTCTTACCATACCGCCCCGGAACCAGGCAGAGATGAGGATCTGGCTCTGGCGCATCTGTTGATAGCGCTTGCGGCATTTCCATGCCCGGAAGGCTGCTTGGATCATGGCGGCCAGCTGCTCGACTCGCTGCTGGCGTCTGGCCTCCAGATCAAAAAGCTGTGGGGAGAGGGTTGAAAACCACCTGTGTGGGGGCAGACCCAACCATGCAGGACAGTCCTCCTGGCAGCTCTGATGGCAGTTTTGTCAAGCTTCTGTGGTAAAGCGCAAAGGCCTGTGAGGCTGTGCATGACTGGCTTCAGGGCCACGTGCTTCTCCGGTCCTCAGGTTCTTGTGGACCAAGAATGTGTCGCATGTGGCAACAGGGTGTGTGCTCAGATCAGTTTACAAACATCCGTATAAAACATACATTCATTTTCTCAACTGCACTCTGTCTTGCTTTCCCAGCAATCACACTCAGCAAAAGCCCCTGTGACCCTAGCTGAGCTCTAATAACACGCTCTTGAATATTTTCTGTAAAACACTAGACAAAACCAAAAAAAAAAAAAAAACCAATCGGAACACGTGACTGGATCCAGTGGTTGCTTTATAGAGGAGGCTTCAATTACAGTCATGGTGGGGTTGTGAAGTTCAAAGAACATGGATACTTCCCACTACGGCATTCTGGCCAATTCCCCTGGAAATAGAGAGCCCTTGCACAGAAACACTCTGAGATGAACCATGTCTATTTTTGTTTAGAAAAGGCCTGTAAAGCAGGCATTCCACCAAGCCATTTCTGATAAACTGCCAGCCCATCACCACCCTGGATCTGCTGCTCCTTTTCCCCAGAAAAGGGAGTGGGATGCACTTTTGCATTTTCCTGCCTGAGCAGGTGGAGCATCAGGGAAAGCTGCAAAATGTCAGCTACCCAGAGGACTATCAGGACTTCAACAACAACAACAATGCCAAAAATAAAAATGTAGATGTCACTGTAAAGGATGTATAAATCCCACCACATCTTTGCTGTGAGCAAGCATCACCTGTGCCTTTGCTATCCTTTAAGAGCTTCCCTCTTGACTAGTGGACCCTCTTTGGATCGACGGGCAGGAGTGATCCCTGCTGCATTGATGGGAGGTACCCCCTGACATTGCCAGCTGAAGGCCCCAAGGTCTGCACTCAGGCAACTGCACACTTGTGCCCATTTTTTCCTTTTTTAAAAAAATGAGCTGAAGTTGCACATCTCCTGTGCAAAAGTAATAAGTAAAAAAGGTAACTGGCCCATGAAAGCCCCTCCAAAGTACCATTTGAAGGGGCTGTCAGTGGCTGCCAAAATGGAGATTGTGCAGGCCTGCTGTCTGCTGGATTTTTTGATCTTTGGGGGGAAAGGGACAAAAAGGCTTGCAATCTTGGTAAGTTGCTCCTGCTGTGGGTCCCCCAGGATACCGAAGGAAGCGCCAAAGGGGAAGGATGCGGGGAGTGGGATGGTGTAAACCGGTCACCTGCAACAGCAGGGGTTGGACCAGATGGCCTTCTTGGCCCATTCCAACTCTTCTATTCTATGATTCTATGAGGGCCAACATCCTATGGGGCCAACAACCCTATGAAGGGGACCAACAACCTATCGCCAGGGTGGATGGCTGTGGCACGTATTTGCACTGAATCACAGGAAGGAGGAGAGCTGCAATGCTGGGGTGGGGGGAATGGTATGAGATCAACAGGGTCCTGGGGAAGAAACACCACCACCACCATACAAGATTTGGGCAGGGGAGAATATCCACACAGTGTGAGCACATTCTGGGAAAGCTTCTTCCCTGTCACTCTTGGAGAGGGTAACCATGGCCTCTTGGTCTACACCCACATACTCCCACTCCCGTGACCGCAGCAGCTCACTGTGCAGGGTGTTCGAATGAAGATCTTCGTGTGTCCATATGCCAGCTCCTTGGGGTCAATAGGCAGACTGCTTAGAAGGGTTTGAACACCGTCCCTGGTGAGGGGAAAGAGATCAAAGATTAACCAGGAAGTGGTCATGTGCCCAAACTCAGGCAGCCCTGCAGCTGTCCAGCATTCATTCATTCATTCATTCCTTTTTATATCGCCCAATAGTCAACAAAAATTTAAAAAGACATACAAACAAACATTAATTTAAAACAACAAAACCATAATAGCAATTACAATTGAATCAGTACAGAGGCATGGCAGCACAGAATAAAATGCAATTTTCAAAAACAAATTGTTAAAATGTTTGAAAAATAAAAAGGTCTTCACCAAGCACTGAAATGAATGAACGCAAAGTAGGGTGAACCTCGTTGGGGAGCAAATTGCAAAACTGGGTGCCACTACCAAAAAGACTCTCCTTCTGGCAGCCACCCACCTCACTTCCTTTGGAAGGGGCTCCCAGAGAAGAACCCTCAATGATGACCTCAGGGTCCAGTTAGGTGCATATGGGAGGGGGCAATCCTTCAGATAACCTGGCCCCAAGCTGTTTAGGGCTTTAAATGTCAGCACTAGCACTCTAAATGGGGCCCAGACTTCAACCAGCAGCCAACGTAGCCAGTACAGATCTCCCCGTAGGAACCTCAACCTTATGGACAGTAAGTGTGGCTCCAGCATGTTTGTGGGATGATCCACATCACTCCCCATCATACTCCCATCGGCAACCACATGTTTGCCTTTCAAACTGTTTCACAGTCAAGCCACCAGGAATGTTCCTTCTCCCTCAACCATCCCCAGCAGCACCATTCAAGCAGGCTCCTTCATTTTTCCCTCTCACCTCCACATCCCTTTCCCCTTGCATGTTATGTCTTTTCAGATTGCAAGCATCTTTTTAGTGGAATTGTTAGTGAATCACTCAGAGTCATTTTCGGCCAAGGATCAGGATTAAAGTACCTTATTAAACAGTCAAAATAAAATAAACACAGATCTATTAAATCCCCTGCCTTTGGCAACAACATCTCTAACTTACTATAACAACCCCATCTCACCTAGCGGTTCCTTGCCACTGTGGCCAGGTCTGCTTGCAGAGCATTTTGTAGCGCTCCAGGCATGGCTCATAAGCCTGCCGATAGGCATAGCCAGCCCGCCGAACGCGCACATTTTCCAACAGGCCGAGGTAGCGCACCTGCATCCGAACCAGCTCATCTGTGAACACAGCATGCTTTTTGATGTCATTGGGCTTGATGCACCTGGCAGCAAAGGGAGCATAAAAACACCCTTATTGAGAGTGGTGAAGTCGTCTCTTAGTCATTCATTCATTTGACTTGTTTGCAGCCCCATTAGCCATAAGGCTCTCTGGGGAGCTCACAACTTCTTCTTTGTATTATTTTATTATTAGTATTATTATTAATTCAACTTATACTCCACTGTACTAGTCCAACGGCTCTCCAAGCAGATTACATTATCACCTAAAATATTTAATAAAATAACAATTAAAAAAACAACCTACAATAAAAACAAAGAAATATGCAGCCGAGGTCAGTTATCAATAAGTTAAATATATTAAATGTAAAACCAGTATAAATATTATGCAACTATAAAATCAATTATCAAAATGTCTGGAGAAAAGGATTGTTTTTTCTGGTGCTGAAAAGATTGTAAAGAAGGTGCCAGGCAAACTATTTTTGGAAGGCCATTCCAAATGGGGCGCAGCCACTGAGAAGGCTCCTCTTCTATTTGGCATCCTGTTTACCTCCTTAAAAGATGCCTCTCTCAGAAGGGTCTCCTCACCTGATGTTAGGGACCAGGTAGGTATATATGGGAGCAGGTGGTCCTTCAGGTATCCTGGTCCCAAGCTGTTATATTATGCAATAGTTAAAACAATATAATTCATAATATGCTGGAGCAACTCACAATATAAAAACCATCAATAAAGATAACATCAGTCAATAAAAATGGACATAAAATTGAACAATCAATATACTAAACTATTTAAAATAATCTTAATAACAATTAAGATAAAGTATACATAAATAAAGTAAAAATAAAAATCTGGTGCTAAAAGTAAAATAATAATATGGCAGCAGCAGAATAACAACATAAAAATGTTAAAACCATTGAACCAGACAACTCTCAAAACAGCAGCAAAAAATGTGTTTAACTGGCATCTGAAGGAATAAAGAGATGGCGCCAGATGGAAGTGAGTTCCATAACTGGGGCACGATTATGGAGAAGGCCCTTCTCCTTGCCCCCTCCCTCGAACTTTGCTGCGGGGAGGAATGTGGAGAAGTGCCTCAGAGGACAACCACAGTGATCAGGTTGGCACATATGGAGACAGGCGTTACCTCAGATAGCCCGGCCCCAAGCTGTCAGGCCTTTCTGTGTTATTGTAAGCGCCCTGAATTGGGTCTGGATGGCAACTGGCAGCCGATGCAGCCTGCGCAGGACTGGCACAATGTGTTCCTGACACAGGTCCTTGCCAGCCCCATTTAGAACAAGCTGCAATGTCCAGACCATTCCCACGAGCAGCCCCACATAGAGTGCATTGTGGGAGGTTTCCAGTGCAAGGACAACCATGGCAAGGTTCTGTTCATCCAAGAAGGGACACAGCTGACAAACCAGCTGAACCTGGTAGAAAACGCTCCTCCTTCCAACCCCACCTGTGCAACAAGTGACAACTCGGGATCCAGTTGCAAACCTTGTCCTATAGGTAGAGCGCAATCCCATCCAGGACAGGCTGAAAATTCCCCAGTTGGATAGACGGACTCCCTACTGACAATGCCTCCATCGTATCTGGATTGAGCTTCAGAATATTGGCCCACACCCAAGCTGCTACGGAGCCCAGGTACTGGTCACAAGCAGACACTGCCTCATCTGGTCAGTTCCTAAACAGGCAATCATGGGGGCAAGAGGGTGCAACCATTTCCTTCTTTCCTGGATTCCAGACATGCTGCCATTTTGAGAGCAGCAAAACCAGCTACTGTATGGTGCTTGCCATGTCTCTCTCTGCTTGACCCAGTTTGGAAATTTCTCAGAGGCTAGATCTCCCTAATTTGGTGGGCCCAAGGCCCCTCACCTTATCACTGCTTAGTCACCAGATCTACCAGAGTTGTAGATCTGTTCCCTGATGCTAGTACGGCTTTTTAAAAATGTGCAACCATGTATAGTTGTACGCAGGGCTTTTTTTGTCATCGAACACACCGGAACAGCATTCCAGCACCATTTTTTTCAGTGGATTTTACGAAGTGATTTTGAATCTCCTGTCGGCGTAGCAGGTCAGCAGCAAACATCATTAACATAGTGCCTGCGGGCTGCTTTTATGTTCGCGCCACCCGGCTTGCGATGCTGCTCGGCTTGGGATTGGTGTGTGTGGTTGCGTGCCGGCGGTGACATGAGTTCCGGCACCTTTTTTTTTTAACAAAAAAAGCACTGGTTGTACGAAATGTACTGTTCAAGGAAAAACATGCAATTCCAAAAGAACATTGCTGCAGTTCATTCAAGCCATGCAAACATGGTGTCCTTCCGATTTCAAGTCCCATCAGCCCTAGCCAATATGGCCAATCATTCAGAATCCTGAGGTTAGAGTCCAAAACATCTGAAGCACACCAGGTTGGGGAAAGATTGCTGTAGACAGTATTTGGCAATGTTTCTAAGATGAAGGAAATCATTGTAGGACAGGGTCGTCAATATTAGAATTAAGGGTCATGATGCCATAAGCTACATCCTATGATATTCTTAATACAGCTGTACCAGGTTTGTGCATTTGGGTTTTTGTTTCTCTTGTTCCTGGGTGTGTATTTTTTTAAATTGTTCCTTTTCAAAGTAAGGTTTCTGACGGAGTTCATGATGCTTCTTGAACATAACATTTTTCAGCATTAATGGTGTTCATTTCCCAGAGCCTTGTGCTACTCTGTGTAGGCTTGTAAATGTCATGGAATGTAGTGCTAAGACACAAGAAGCACACACAGAGAAACAAAGTACACAGGCGTGTTGCTAGCTATGGGCATGAATTACAACCACAGGCTGCTGTGCAGCTTTGCCGACCTCTCCTCATTAAAAATCCTGCGGGCACCCATGAATACAGCCCTGGTTTCTCTCTCTCTCACACACACACACACAGAACGTAGACTAGCCTTGTCCTTCCTCCCTGTAAAGGCATTTGGTCCAAAGGGTCATTACAGGGATGAATGAGCATGCCCACATTACCTGATGTAATTGGGGTTCTTGGAATAGAGGTTCTTCATGAGGGTGTTCACAGATGCCTTGAACTGGAAACCCGCAGTGGGTGGCCTCTTGAGGGAAGGTTCTTCAGGGTCTCCTTCAGGAAAGAGGCTGTGCAAGAGCATGTGCTTGGCCTTCCACATGGCTTGCGACAGATCTCTGAAGAGCAGATCGTTGTTCTTTTCTATGAATCCAGCCACATTGTACGTGACCTGAGGTGGAAGAGAGTCAGTGGTGAAGTAGGACTCAGACGCATCTTGTAGTGAATGCAGAGGATCGTCAGCTGATGTGTTGTGGATGGGCACATAGCAGAAAAGACCCAAGCAGAAGATGAGAGAGAGCGAGCCTTCAAATAGAAACCAAGGGCTCTGGGCCATAACCCAACACCCTCATTGCTCCCAGGAAATGACCTTTCCTTTGCTAAAATCCCCTTCAAGTTTCCTTAGGATTGCCCAACCTTCCTTTCATTCAAGGGATAAAACCCACCACCACAACTCATGGTATATTTGTTCCAGCCAGGCCTGGTTCTCATAGAGGTGACAAATCTGTGTCTGGAATGTGTCACATCAGACTACAGGGGGGGGTTCACATGCTGAATGCTTCTCCATACAAAATAATTATCTCTGCACAAAGAAGAAAGGACCTGCCCTCTCTCCAATACCTCATTTTCTAACTGGAGCTATGCTTTTTTCATGGAGAAGCATTCAGTCAGGTCAGCCCCCACCCACAATCTGAAGTGGTACAGCTCAGACACAGGTTTGTCATCGCAGTTAGGATGAGGTGGGCAAACTCCCCCCTCCAGAACCCACTGGGGCAACATGCCTGCCCCCAGCCACCAAAGCTGTTGCAGCAAACATGTGTGAAACAAGGCATGTGTGGCATACCTGCCTTATTCTGAAGAAAGATTGTTCTCCTTGCATATATTTTTGCCACTGGGGTGGGGGGGTTGCTTCCTGACCCACCCAGCCTTTTTCTGTCCCTGCAGACCCTTCCCCTTGGTTCCTTCTCTGTCCCTCAGCTCCCATCCTCTAGCCTTGCTACTTCTCGCCAATCAAATTCCTTGCACTTTCTCCCTTTTCTTCATCTTTCTTCCTCTCCCTTCCAGCCCCAAGCCTTGTTCTGCCTCTCCCACTCACCGTTTTATGTTGCCGTTTCTCTTCACTCCCAGTCTGTAGTGCAGTGATTTCTCTTCCTGTAACCCTTTTGCTTCTCCCTGCTTGGGGTCTCTAGCCCCACCTTTTCTCTCCACCTACTACTTTGCCATGCTTACTTTTCCTGCTCAGTGAACACTTGAACAACAGCAGATTTAGGAAAATGAAGGAGAACCTGGTGCCCTAACATAGTTCATTTTTTTAAGGTGGCAGGGAGTGAAGAGTTCTGGAGGTGCCCACAGGTACCCTATCAAGGACCCCTAGGTTAACAGGTACTCAGCACCTCTCAGCAACTGTAAACTCTTAGGGGGAGAGGTGGTGAAACTATTCTGCAGTTAGGAAGGGGAGTAGTGTGCAGTGCAGTGGATTCAGTGAGTTAAGTGGAGGGCAAGCTCTCGGTGGCACCTGGGCCAGGGAGCCTTCACACAGCCCAGGCTTTTCCCAGCCAGGCAAGGTATGTGTGGAGCTGTGAGGCCAAGAAGATACACCACGAGAGATTGTTCCCCCACCGGCATCTTAACTAAGGAATCCCCAACCTCGAATTGAGGCAGGGAGGGTCCCCTCTAACATCACTCATCTGTGATTGGATAATGTTGGGGATTCCACTGCCTGCTGTTGCAAAGTCCTCTCCTTCCCCAGCTCCTTGCATGAGTGAGGCTTGCAGAGCAGAGAGGGCAGGGCTGGTGGAGGAAGTTCATGTCTTCATGGGCTGGAATAGCTTTGCAGGCAGGAGGTTTTGCCCCCTGATCTAAGCCCTATCCACTTCCAAAATGGAGCCCTCCTACATCTCGCATCCTTGCTACCAAGAACCAAAAAAGGCCCCTAGCACCACTGACCTTGCCAGCATAGTGGTTAATACGAAAGCTGTTGACAGACATGGTGGCATCCATGATGTACTTGGCGTTCTGGGTGACTTTACTCTCGTAGCGTTGGTGTTTTGCAAACACTTGGTTGAGCTTGTTCAGGAATGTGGTTTCATTCACTGCCCCTGGGCGAAGGCACTCTTCATCCAACATGGCCAGGATCCCACCATTGTTCTAGGTGAGGAAGGAACAATTACAATGCAGGATTTCCAAGCCTGACCTAGAACACACAAGGCATCTGTCCTGGGCAGCACAGAAAGAGGTAGGAAAGGCTGCATGCACACTTCAACAACCAGAGAGAAAGGAGAATCAGAGTCCCCAGATTTGAAAGGAGCAATGCACTTGGGAGAGGCCAGGTCCAACTGATCTCAAGTGAACTCCTTGCCTGGCTTTGTGCTACAGATGGACAAAACTCATCAGTTTCAGTTTCTCATGTTTCTAATCTTCAGTGCAGTCCTCCTCTCAAACTTTGAAAAATTCTCCAAAAAATTGATCCATCTCTTATTATGAGACTCTAAGCATTGCAACAGATTTTGCCTAACGCATGCATTTTGTATGCATTTTATCCATTCAGGTTTGTATGAATTAGCCCTAATATTTCAACATTTTATGTATTAGCACTATATCCCACTTTTTCCTTTTTAAAGAATTCAAAGTGGCTTACAGTATTCTCTTCCTCCTGCTCTCAATCTTATCCCAACCACAACAACCCAGTGAGGTAGGTTGAGCTGACAGTCTGTGACTGGTGTTGCATCACCCAGTTGGCGCCAAGGCTGAGCAGGGACTAGGATCCAGATCACCTGAGTCCTAGTCCTGTGCTCTTAACCACTACACCACACTCCCCCCACCAATTTACAAAACTTTGTACACATTTTTGGAACAGAGAACTCTTGCAAAATCCAGATAAATGCAGATTTTGAAGGATAACTGAGTGTCAGTTCACATAGTTTAAAAAGTAAAATAGGTGCAGTCCAAACACATTTTCCCTCATCTCTGTGGCCATCTGTAATTTGGGACCTAACCATGCCAGCCAGCTTTACAGGGTTCTGATTAAGGTTCCTGAGATCAATTCCAGGAAGTGGTTTGAACACTAAGAAAGCAGATTATTACAGTTGTCTTGGAAGAAGTCCAAAAAGAAGGGCAGAGGAGTGCAGATACAAGCCCTTATCCCTGCTGCCGGAGTCCTAACTGGCAGCCCAGAGCCTGAGCTATTGCCCTGTGCTCCCACTTATGCTTCAGCTGTGCCAACCCAGCAGCTTCTGGCAGCTCTTGCCCATGTGTGGAAGGTCAACATACTGGGAAGACCTCCATGCTCTCAACTACAATTTCTGGCATCACCCATATCAGTTTGTACAGATTTTTCTCTGGTCTTTTTTCCCCCCTTCTCACACTTGGGTTCCTCCACCCATACTGAGCAATAGGCACTTTCTTTGCCATTCAAATCATGAAGAGGTCTTTCATCAAATCATCTCCAAATCCATTCTGTATTAAGAGGAGACACCTTGATTGCACCTTTTAGCTTGTGGCTGGAAACGTTCCTTTCATTAAGCTACTTAATTTATCTTAGGATCCAACTCAAGATATCTATATTAATTTGTAGATATCTACAAACTGAACCCAGGCTGCTCAAGCTAAAGCCCAACACTGTAACGGCACATACTATTGACTTCTAGTCCCAATACCCTACAAGTATTAAAAGAAAATGATGGCTATACAAGCAGAGGGATTCCTCCAGACTGAAAGAAATCCTTGCATCACCTCACCCACCACCATTCTGAAAAAAAACTTACATCCTCTATCAAGTGGCAGATGATGGTATTATCAAAAAACTCCACAGGTGTCCAAGTAATGCCCTGAGGGGGAGAAACAGTGTTATAACAGCAGTAGAAGGAAAAGTTAAAATACGGCTTTTCAAAACACCCTTGAGCAGCCTGCTCAAACCCTGCAGTAGTGCCAATGACAATGGTGTGGTGTTTCCATTCTGGATTTCAATTTGAGCATTACAGGAAGAACAAAGCCTATCTGGGGACAGGGTTCAGCACCATGGATAGCTCATTAAAGCTATCTCATCATACTGCCCAAACTGCCCACAACCAATCCCCACCACTCACGATGGACAGTTGCAGGAACTTTTACAGGGGTGGGGGTGATAAAGCAGCACTACACAGTGGCTTGTGGTTGTGATTCATACACACAGCCAGCAACACACCTTTGCACTTTGTGTGTGTGTGTGTGTGTGTGCTCTTTTGTCACTTAGCATCCCGTGCCATGACATTTGCAAGCCTACACAGAGTAGTATAAGATCCTGGGAACTGAACACCATGAATGCAGAAGTGTCTAATATCCAAGAAACTCCAACAAACCCTTATGTGGAGTGAGGGCTTAAAAAGATACAACCTCCCTCTTTCTGCCTCAGTGTTACACAGATACATTACAGCCGTCTTAAGAATATTATATCAGATAGTTTATGGCATCACTGCCCTTCACATTGCCCTCAACTTCATATAACTCACCCAGAATGATTTCCTTAATCTTAGAAACATTGGTTAAAAACTATCCAGAACAGTCTTCCCCAATTAACTTCCCCTCCAGATGTGTTGGACTACAACTCTCAGCACCCCTGACCACTGACCATGCTGGTAGAAAGTAGAAGTCATGTTTGTGGGGCCAAGAAATGGCTGAAAAGGAGTCTGGATGACTCTACTGTCTGCCTTTAGATGGCTGGGGTTTTGGCCCTGGAGTGGGTGGGAAGTTGTACACTGACAGGGCCTGACTCCTCCTCTCCTTGTCCCCTCCCCACTCCTTGTCCACCTCCAAGGCTGTTCTTGCAGCCTTGGAGGCACAGCAGACACCATGCCTTACGTGCCAGCCATGGGAAAAATGGGAGGGCGCTCCAAGTTTGGAATTCTAGCTCTGACTCCACAGCAAGTTTCTGAGATCAGAGATGGGGCTCTGAAAAATCCAATGGCTATCTAGATTCTGTCTAGAAGCCATGAGGCTGTGTTATAAAATACAAACACTATATCCTCCCTAGCTTCACACTGAATCTAAAGGTTACTGGTAGGCGCACATTTTAAATCGTTTGTATGCATATTTCATTTGTTCTTTTGCACAGAATACTAACAGTCCTGTCTATGAAAAAAGGCCTAGCTCTGGGGCAGGGGCAGGGAGGACAATGTCTACCTCCCGAACGTATTCCTCTTGTTCCTCTTTCAGGGTCAGCAGGATGAAGATCTGCTGGAGCTTCTCATTACAGTAATTGATGATGAACTGCTCGAAGCTGTTGTTCTGTGAAGAGGAGATATAAAGAGGACTGAGCAAAGGACACAGACATCTGGGCCCTGCTCTGTGCAATATCCATGAAGCCGTGCCACAGTGTACAGTCCGTCATTGCTGGTGTTCTTCCATCCAGGCATGCGTACACAGAGCTTTGTGTGCACACACGATGGAGCTCCCGTGCGTCTCATTCTATTCCCGGCCCACCTCTCAAGACCTTTAGCAAATCTTCCTTTGCCTTAAGAAGGAGAATTCTAAGAATCTCTACTGCTTACCTGAAAAATCTCAAAGCCATAAATATCCAGAACACCCATTACTTTCTTGCGCTCCGTTGTTTCCACCTAAGAAAGCAGAAAGGTGGTGAAGAGCGGTTTCATGGGATCACAGTGTCCTGAAGGCACTTCCCAATTTTCCTCATCATTTCGTTAAGCATAGCAACCACCTTGTTTCTGTTTGCCTAATCCAAAACACAGATTAAAAACACCGCATCCCACATTGAAAAGGTAATTATTGCATCCCCTCAGAGCTTTTCTAAGGTTAATTCCTATATCTGCTTTTGTGGTCATCAGTTGAAATTCAGGATCTACAGTCTTCCCTTTTCTGCTATATACCCTCTAGATGGCAATGTGCCATAGCAGAATAATCCAAACACAAGTTGGAAACTACCTTTTGTTCTGCTTTCAGAAATAATACTCTATTCCACCATCTCAAAGTCTCCAGGTGTGTTTAAAAAAAAACAGAAGCAAAACTGGAAGATAATGGCATTCCCTAAAAGTCCTGTAAACAATTGTGAGTAAGGAATCTGAAGTGATTCTCATGTAGAAAATTATGGAGTCCCAAGAAGCCTGTATGGCATCTTTCCCCAGCCTGTATCCCTCCAGAGATTGTTGCCTACAATTGTTGCCAGTGAGCAGGTAAGCCATTACCTTTGGCTGGACAAGTGTGAGAGGCAGGTGAACAAGCAGGTGGCAGAAGAAAAAGGAAGGTTCAGGTCCAGCAGGCCATGGTGCAATGTCGGCCTTCATCAGGAGCCCAACATGCCTCCCTTGGTGAGTCCACTGACAATCCTTCTTTCTTTCTTTCTGCCACATTCTTTTCATTCTCTTTTGCCCTCTTCCGTCACCCATTTTCTGTCTCTTCCTTCCTGCCCAGCCAGCTGGACAGATTACACTTACTCTTGCTTCTGAAATTGGGCTGCAAGCTGAAGATTGCCTGCCTATCCCTCCCACTGACAGAAAAATGGGCTCCATGTTCTTTGTATAAAACAGCACTGAAAAAGATGCAGAAATGTTTCTCATCACATCACAGGTGGGAATATAGTCCTGGATCTTAAGTGAGATAGGAGCAATGCAAACATCTCTCTGACTAACCCCCTCAGGAGGATCTAGCCATGCTTGTGAAGCCTAAAATGGAGATCTACAGAACACTTCCCATTGGATCAATGCATCTACTGTGTGTACTCACTTTGATGCTCTCGTTGATTCTGTTAACAAGCCAGTTAAACAGCCGGTTATACAAGTTCTTTGCTAGGGCATCCCGCACATAGTAACCCTAGGAACCAAGACAGAGGTGGTTAGACAGTGGGAAGAGCCAGTGCAGAAAGCTAGGACTGAATGCCCTAGGACCAAGTAATTGTCACTGCATTGGAAAGGCCTTAGCCTTAGAAATTTGGTAAGCGAATTCTGAAAGATAGATCTCAAGCAGGACATTCTGCTCTCCATATATAAACCAGTTTGAAAGCAGTTTTTTGTTTAATCACTTATTCCCTCTGTACTTGTGGGACTTGTAACACTTCATTATCTGAAGGAGTGTTTCCTTCCCTATGTGCCTGCTGGCCTCTTAAGATCTGGATTGCAGGTCCTTCTTTGGGAGTCCTCTTTGAAAGAGATTAGGAGAGTGGCTACCCAGAGGAAGACCTTCTCTGCGATGGCACCTCGGCTGTGGAACATCCTCCCCAGAGAGGTGTGCCTGGTGCCAACACTTCATTCTTTTCAGTCCCAGGCCAAAACCTTTTTATTTTCTCATTATTTTAAGATTCAATTTTTTATTTTAGTCAGGTTTTTATTATAGATATTATGCTGTGCCTCTGTTGTAGGACAGTCCTGAGACTTTAATGTATAGAACAGGGCACTAAAGTTTTAAATAAATAAATAAATAATCTGTTACTACACAGAAATACAATTCCCACAATTCTTTGAAAGGGAGAAGGTATGACAGAAATATACTATGTTTGTAGATAATACCACAAGCGCATCACAAAGGCCTGGATTTTTCAATCTGTTCAGCAGGAAAGGTAGGTAACCCATTTGTTCACTGGTCCCGTATTCATAGTCTTTACATTTTCTTTGTCCAGCACCTTATCAATCAACACACACACACACACACACACACTCTTGGCCAAGCAGGGTCCAAGCCAGCTTGTAATGCTTCTCATAAATCAACTGAAGTTACATTAAAATAGCAAAACAGCCACTATAAAGCAACACACGTTGACATCAAAATAGCCAATACAGATTTAGAAAACTGCACAGAAAACAGCAGCACAAAAAAGTCAATAAAACGGTTTTTACCAGCAGAAAGGCCATACTCCTTGTAACAATTAGGCCAATTGCCTGTACTTTGATAGATTAATACTGGCAAAGGGAGTTTGCTCCACTGAGTAAATGTTTGCAGTTGAGTGCCAAAGGCAGGTGCCAGCATGCAACACAATGTGCAAATGAAAGGCCTGACATGGTCCAAACAGGCTGAAATGACTGGGCACCAGCATGTGTGGCACTTTCTTGAAGAAGCCATGTGCATTTAGCTATTTGAGAGAACAGGCTCAACCCTCTGTCGTCGTTTTAAAAACTGGCATGGAAACCTCCCCCCACAACAAGCGTCTGTACACAAACAGTGGCAACAAACCAGAAAGTAGGTGCGTGTGCACCCCTCCGCACACTCACTTGTGAGACATTCAGGCTTGTCACCACCTTGTCCTGATGGGCTTTCACCGTGCGAGAGCACAAGGCCTGCTCCAGGACAGCTTCATTCAGTTTGATTAGCTGGCAGATCTCCTGTATCACTGAGGAAGTGAAATGTGGCGTTGGTGGGGGCAGCAAAGACAGTGGAATCCCTCTTAGTTCTTCTCCCTGACATTGGCAGCGCATTGCAACTCGGAGGGCCAGGGCTGAGGGCTGAGGCAACATTTCTCAACAAGGGTGGGCAGCTTTTGTGCCTCAAAGGCTGCGTGGCAAAAGGCAAGGCCGCAGCACGAGCTGACGGACCAGGGCCACGTCACGTGAGCAGCCTCCCCACCCGCCCCACTTCATCCACAGCCTTGGGGCAGAGAGAGCAGCGTTCTGCCTCTTCAGTGGTGCCTCATGCACTGTGAAAGGGCTGTTTGGTGGGCTTCCATTTGGTGTTAGTGGGAGGAGAACATGTTCTACCACCTCATGTTGACACCCAATCTACCAAGAGCTGCTTCTGAGCTGGCCCCATTCACATGGATAACAGTGTCTGGTGGATTACAGTCTGAGGAACTATGAAATCAGGAATATGCCAAAAACTAGGAAAGGCTTTCCCTTACCACCACCACCACCACCACCACCATCACCTCTATACCACCTACAGCCAAAGTTTTCTGGGCGGTTTACAACAAGATGTAAAAACAATATAATACAATAGATAAAAACAATTAACAAGAAATAAAAATTAAAATAGCACAAAAAATTAAAACCATAAAAAGACAATTAAAGCAAAAAGATCTGGCCAAGAGTAAAAGGCACATGGCTAATTGTGCCAAATAGAAATGTCAGAGTTCTTCTGCCATTTCATTTTCACTGTTGTAAAAGTATCGTGGGAAGTAGTCCCAAGAGCGGAAGGGTGCTTCCAGATTGTGGGATAATGACATGCAAATGAGAATGTGGAGCCAGCCAATGGGGTCCATGCTGTGGGCAGCCTCAGAAAAAAATAAATCAGATTCTCAAAACGTGGGCTGTGCTGCAACTGAACTTGCCTTGAGCTCCCCACCATCACCCAAGAGATGATCCCTGTTCCGCCCCGTTCCTGACCTTTTTCATTCTGGATTTCACAAGACTCTGCCCCACTGGCCTGAAATTGCTCTGTGAACTGCACATTTCCCAGTTTGAGGACCACAGCAGTCACTTCCAGCACGGCCATCACTTCTTCTGGAGAAAAGCCAATGGCTTTCATGGCATCCTTCAAGAAAATGGGTATTGGAGAACAGCATTAAACATGGGAAAAACCTCAAATGTCCCTCCCTCCAGACCCAAGTAGCGCTGTATATACATAGAGTGTTAGGGACTTTTTGGAGAATGCTGAAATGGAATTTTCCAGCTGGAAAACTTGTGGGCAACTTGTGGCTTTCCAGATGTTTTGGCCTACAACTCCTGACAGCCCTAACAGCAAAGCCAAGGGAGAGGGATGAAAGGATTTCAAGGCCAAATTTCTGGAAGACCACAAAACGTCCACCCCTCCCCTAGCAAGTGATCTAGTTTAGCATGTATTAATAAGCAGCCAAACTAAAAGCAAAGGTACTCCATGTTCATTTCTTGATTCCATAGCACTAAAAGTATTTCATCTGAACTATTTGAGTTAAAACAAGCTTTATTTAGTGTTCATTTTACATTATATACATGGTTCATAACTGGAATAAAGAATCACCAGAAAAAAATGTTAATTACAATTTTGGAACTGCCTAACACTATATCTGCATTTGGCATCTGTCCCTTGTAGCTTTTTTCCTTGCAATGGAAAAAAATAAAGCACTGGAAAAATTTGCATTTCTGCCCAGCATCAGTGCATACCTACTGAGAACTGAAGCAAAATCAAATGGTGTTTCTATGGCAAAACTAGGGCCATGGGGAAGAGCCTCTGGGTAACAGGAAATACAGAACTGAGTTGCACAATTGTACTGACTCTAACGTGCCACAGGACTGGTCCCTGGTCTCAGAGAATTCTACCTTTAAAAGGGGGACCTGCAAATAAATGTTGCATTGTACTTTGCTCCACCCCTAGCAGGAGCACTTCTGTTTAAGGAACCAGCCTGATGTGCTTGGCTCCAGGATGTTCCACTCCATTCCTCTTCTCCATGGCTTTTCCCTTCCACTCTTCTTCCCCAACAGTTATTCCATGATTAGCAGATCTACTCAGTCTGCATTGGATTGCTAGGTGGTGTTTCCCTCTTAGGACATTTTTTTCCCACTGAAGGAAACTTTTTTCTTTTGTTCTGTACTTTTGCAATCCATAAAAATGTCCTGTGTCTGATGATGTGTTCTCCTTGTAGGTGGATAGTGCTGTTTTGATCATATAAAGATCCACAGTTGGAGAATGAGGTCTCCATTGGCATGGATGCAAGTTGACTTCCGCATCTCCTGGGCTGTCATGATTTAGCTTCCAGACCTATCCATAGCACAGCCCATACCTGAACGATTCTGAAGTTGGCTGCATCGTCCACACCCTGCAGACTTGAAGCTTCCTTGTTGAGGTAGTCATAGCGGCTGCAGTCTCGCTCCAGCCTCAGTTGCTCTGTTGAAGAGAAGGAACAGTTTTCACTTCCTGTTCCCAGCTTTTATCTCAGATGCTCTTTTGCATCAGGGTGCTCACATCTGACCCTATTATGAGCTTTATAGGAGCTATCAATGGTGTTCCTCGAAGATGAACCAACTTTAGGGATGGAGTTCAACACCATCAATAGCTCAGAATAAAATCTGCAATGAATATGGAGCCCCACTGGCATAGGGGGTCACCTGCCTCCCCAATTCTCAAGTCCCAGCCACCCCCGTCCAAAGGTCAAATGTCCCAGTCCCCTGCTCTTATATGTTCAGATCCCTTTGGGCTAGCATACAACCCTGGGAGGCAAGGGTACACATGCTGTTAGTGGCACACGTGATACAGAATGTGGACTGCACACATCACACACACACACAAGCAGTCTTTTTAGACTGCAAAATAGGAGATCTTGTGCTTTTTGTATGAGCATTTCTCATATTGCATTGTTTTTAGATGGTGTTTTATGGTGTTCAGTTTAATTCATCTTATGCTGATGGTTTATATTGATTGGAGGTTTTCTGTTATATGAATTAGGGATTTCTGCATGTGTGTGCCTAAGCCATCTGAAGGGTGGCTTTTTGCAGTGGAAAGCAACACGCAAATGTAAGAATAATATATGCACATATGTGCATGTGTGTGCATGTGCGCACACACACCGGTGCTGTTGTTACAGATTGTTCTTTCCTTGTTACTTGCCGCAACAGAGAAAAGGCATCAGTGTGAGCACTGCTGGGAAGGGAGTGCTGAACCTTCTCTCCATCTCTCCTCTAGCAATCCCCTCGTGCATAGCAATGGCAAGAAAAATAGGATCTCTCAAAGGGCACTGGAAAGAACACCACCCCGTGCATGTTTTCCACTAAGGCTCATGGGGAGGGCCTGTGGGTTGCACCCCCAGTCTAAGCCCTACCACTGCATATTTGTGTAGTAGGTGATTTAGTTCTGCTTTTTTGAAATGTGATCTGGCTTTGCTGAAATTACAGTGCAACCTTATTCATGTCAACTCAGAAAGAATTCCCATTGAGTTTGATGGGATTTACTCCCTGGAAAGTGCAGAAGTAGGACTGCAGCTTTAAGAAGAGTGAGCTGGTGTTGCTTCTTTAAGTCACTGGTTTGATATGGTAATTCAAGCAATATCAGTCCTCTTTCTCAGAGTTATTAAGGTGCAGGAGTCCAGTCCCCTTTTGCAGCTGGCTGGCCCTTTATTTAATACAAACTTACTATTTCCAATCTCCCTGAAAAAATATTTTGGAAAGATGCCTGCTAAAAGACCTTCAGCTAGGTCCTGGATCCAGCCCTCTGCAAGCTGCCAGACCCTTTTAACCCTCCAATTCTGCCCACCACCCTTGACTAGCCACACCTCACTGAGCTGACACCCATGTCTTCCAAATTCTACCAAGGGATTCTTCTGCTGAATTTCCCCCAGTTCTGACAGTTTCCAATGGGTCTCCCTCCCTGCCTCCCTTGGGACAATCCCAGGCAACCATCAGATCCCACATACGGAGGACGTACTGAGGAGCTGGTCAGAGCCTCCAGCCAGGAGCTGATAGAAGATGTGGAAATTCCTCTCGCCTTTCACATGGTGCACCACCCGGGATTTCTCGAGCAGGTCTGAGAAAAAGAAGGGTGGGGAAGAGAGTGAATGAAGACAGAAAGACTGGAAGGGCCTAAGGTAGGACTGGATTGCTGCATGTAACAGGGACTCTGCTGGTTGATGCTTTGTATTTCCCCTTCACCAAGCCATGGAAGAACACTGAGGCCTCAAGTCCTGTCTGGGCAGCCCCTTCTACCATTAACAATGTCCAGGGTCAGCCATTCCATTGGGCAAGGAGAGGCAGTCGGCTCAGGTGGCAGATGCTGGGAGGCAGCAGCAAAGAGTTACAGGAGAGAGCTCTGGGCCGCACAGACTGCTTTGCCTTCTCTGAGCCAGCCTGCAGCATGTAGCAGAACATCCTGCCCCCTTGCCTTTATTAAAGAAAGATTCAGCTTCGATTCCAGCCGACTTCTGTACGTGGAATAGGAGAATGGGGCGGGGAGGGGGTATCTTGCCATTCAGCTCAGGCAATGAAATGCCTTGAGCTGGCCCTGCCTTTAGCACAACTGTGAGGTCCCTGCAGTGTTTTGATCTCTCATTATGCCCTCAGTCATCCAATGATTTGTTACTCTAGGCCTCTCTGAAAAAGTGTATGGACGTTTACAAACCCATGTCCCTGATGCTGGGAGCCCAAGGCAGTGCTGATGGGGCACTGGGATCCTGGCCACTGCCCTAGTATTCCAGGTAACACACTAGGCCTGAGCGGAGCTCACTGGAGCCAGGAGTCGGACAAGATGGCCTGGGAGGCCCCTTTTGACTTGCTGTATTTCTATGTTTCTTTGTTTCCACTTTCTTCATTGCCTGGGTCTCTGAAAAGTATTCAGAGTCGCTAGTATTCTCTTTCCAAAATTCTGGCAGCATGCTCCCAAGCATGCTCAGGGTGCCATTTCCTTGTGGAAAGAACCAAATTTTGTTTTCAGTGGCTCCAACAGCATCTCTGGAAGCTCTTCCCTTTTTGAATGGAACCAAATTCTAAATTTTATGTAATAGAGCTAAGGGCTGAATTTAAAAATTCAATGGCTGAAAAGCAGCAGGGGGTAGCACAGTCCGAGTGCTCTGCTACGGAACCAGGGATTCTGTCTATTTTTCTGTCTGTCTATCTGATTCTCTCTCTCAACCTAGAAAGAAATTAAGTTGTGGGGGAGGAGAAATAACTATACGAAAAGCTGCCCAACCCTTTTCATTTTCCCCCTTCTCCAATGCACGTTTCTTCTCCCAAGCTACTGCCTCCTGTCCAATAGCCCCTGTTGCCAGTTCACTTTTCTACTGTTTGATGATAATGCAGCTCAGGTAGCAGCCCAAATCTGTCATCAAGTGTTTTCTCCAGCCCAGTCCCTCCCTCACCCCACAAAGCACCATGTCTGGGCCAAATGGCATGGTCTATGACCACCTTCCCTTTCGTTTTATGGACAACCCACCACATTTATTTTAATTTTAAAATCCACTTTGAAAGTGTGCAAGCGATAATGGAAAGTAGGTTGCAGTTGGGCCACTCTCCACCCGAACCTTCCACCTGTCTGTCCTGAAAAAAGGACTCTCTGTGTCTGTCTGTCTAATTTTTTTCCCCGATTTATATCCTGCCTTTTTCCTACAAAGGGCTCAAGGCAGCTTACATCTCCTCCTCCATCTTATTCCTACAGCAACAACCCTGTGAGGTAGGTTGGGCTGAGAGTCTGTGACTGGCCTAAAGTCACCCAGTTGGCTCCATGGCCGAGCAGGAACTCGAACCCAGATCGCCTGAGTCCCAGTCCCATGCTCTTAACCACTACGCCACACTGGCTCTCTTCCCAGAAAACAGTAGCTATTGGGCAGTGAACAAATAAATAAGCAATATTCTGGCCAGGGTGACTTCTTTTATATTGTCATTTATTTTATATTGTTAAATTTATATTGTTATTTTTGTATTTTATTGTATTTTATTTTGTGTTGTGAGCCGCCCCGAGGCTTCGGCAAGGGGCGGCATAGAAATGTTTTAATAATAATAAATATAAATAAATATTCCCCAAAAAAGCAGAAGCTAGATATGAATCAATAGCATAACAAATCCTCCAAGATCTCTCCACTAAAAAACATGTCATGATATTATTCCTCAGTTAAAAACAATAAAGGCAGAAAGAAAGGGACTAAATCACTGAAGCTTCCCAAGACAGGGAGGGTCCGTATATATATATGCGCTTTAATATAACATCAAGGTTTCTGCTTTAAAAAAGAATTTGGAATGTATGGAAATACATCATGTACAATGACCCAATGCTCCATTCTGTGCAATTCCTAAAAGCTGCTGCCCCTAACTGGAGCCCTGCAGATGTCTTGGACCATAGCCTCCATCATCTCCCAAGCTGTGGAAGATAGCACTTGTAATCTACCCAGATTCTACCATCCTTATCTGGAGCCTTCCTCCAACTTCCACCTCCAAGGGAGGTCCAAGAAGAGGCAAGAAGGAGAAGGGCCTTTTCAATGGTGGCACCCCGGTTATGGAACGTCTCCCTGCTGAGGGCTCCCTGAATCCAATATTGCCATCTTTTTGGCAGCAGGGTAAAACTGTCCTCTATTTCCAGACATTTTATCTGGGTTTTAATCAACTGTTTTAATTAGGTCTGGTTGTTAATAGAAATGTTTTAGAGATTAAACTCTTTTGTACATTGAACGTTTTAGCTGTTTTAAATTTGCACACTAAAATGTCATGTTTTATTATATTTGTATTTTTATTGTATCATTTGTATTTGATTAATTGTTGAGAATTGCCCAGAGAGCTTTGGCTATTGTGTGGTAAAGAAACGACATACATAAATAAAGTAATCCAGCACATGTAAAGGGCATCAGGTTAGGGAAAGCCAACTTAAAGGGCTCCTGATCCACGTTAAGCAGAGCAGCACACGTGTTCCTTTTCTGGCTTTGCTTTATAACCTGCAGTTCCAGCAACTGGCCAGGAGAGATTTCTGCCTCTGCCTGGGCCCCCTCTTATGGCTGGGAGTGAAGCATGGCAGTCCGCTATGTCTTACTCACAGTTGCTGATGACACCACCCAGTGGATCACCCTTGAAGTCAAACTCAATATCCATGTATTTGCCCTAAGAAGAAAATCAGAGTCAGAGGGAAAGCAGATGGAGCAAAATGAGATTCTTGTTGTAATCCCTTAAAAAAAAATGCTTGGGTCCACCTATTGTTGAGCGCTTTGTTCTTATTTTTAGTTTTATCTTTGGTTTATGTTGATGACCATCACTACTTCTTGTGGTAATGAATTCCACAATTTAACCATGCACCAATTTATCTTTCCAGAATCTTATTTCCAACATTCAGCTTCATGGGATGAGTCCCAAAGAGGGAGAAAAACAATTCCTTGTCTACTTTTTTACACACCATGCATAATTTAATACACCTCTGCCATGTTCCTTTACTTTCTTCCTATGCTCTTTTCTGTGTACCTTTTCCATCCATATGAAATCCGTTTTTAGGTGTGGGGGCTAGAACTGTACACAGTATATTCCAGGTGTGGTTGGTCATACCGCAGATTTGTATGAAGGCATTGTGGTGTCAGCACTGCCGTTTTATTTTCACTTCATTTCCTAGTGATTGCTAGTATGGAATTTGGTTTTGTTTTGTTTTTTTTCATAGGGGTTGGATGCTTTTGTTGAATCATCCTCTGTGACCCAGTATCTTTCTCATGATCAATCAGTTCCAGCTTATATCATGTATATGGGATTAGAATTTTTTGCCCTCAAGTGCATCACTTTAGTCTTTTTTAACATGCAAGCACATTTGCCATTTTGATGCCCATTTTTCGTTTTGGTGTACTTCACTGCCTTTTTTTTTTTTTTTTTTTTACAATCCTAAATGTGGTTTGTCAACAGACTCAACCACCTCACAGCTCACTACAGATCAGTTATGAACAAGATAAAAACACTGGTGCCAATACAGAGCCTTGAGGGAAGAAGCAAGGTCACATCTCTCCACTGCAAGAACAAAATTATTCTTCCCTACTTTCTGTTTTTTAGCCAGTTACTCATCCTCAATCCAAAGGACCTACAATATAATGTCTCACTGGCAGGCATTGAGCTTTTCTTCATTCAGCTTTTCCTCAGCACATGAGTTAGGTTACAGGATGCTAACGCTGAGGGCAGAGTGCAGCGTAGCATCCTTGCTCACCTTCCCCTCCCCAGCCCAGGTGTTCCAACAGATCCTACAAGATGCCTGACAGAGAATTCTTCCCCAGCAATTACTTACAAATCTTGAGGAGTTGTCATTGCGGATGGTTTTGGCATTCCCAAAGGCTGCAAGAGGAAAAGAGGAGGATGGTTAGGAATGTGCACACTTTCCTAGGAATGCTTGGCCAAGCTGGCCTAGCCCAGCATTTCATTGCAGGTCCCCTGAGCTACTTTCTGGAGGCAGTATAGTGAGATCATGGCCCAGAAAGGTCAACAGCATTACTTAAAGCTGGAGCAAGCTACCTGGCACACTCCAAACACTTTGGGCTACAGCTCCCATCATCCCTGACCATTGCCCATGCTGGGTTTATGGGAGTTGTAGTCCAAAATATCAGAAAGACACCAAGCTACCTGTCTGTGAATTAAGAACTGACTGGACTTAGCATCTGACTATTCTGGGACTCACAATAACCTAAACCAAGATGAGGGGCAGCACTGCAACTGTTTGTACTCCGCATTTTGCAGTGTGTCCCTCTTTCCCAGTGCTCCTGATACATATGACTCTAACTCCATGTTTTTCTTTTTAAATGGCTGGAGACGGGAGAAATGCTTCAGCACTGAGGTAGGAATGTACCGACATTGTTAAAGCTATTTCACCTGCATTTCATAAGTGTGCAAATTCACACTTCCAAGAATGTGCAGATGCTCCCAAAATATGCAAATTCCCCCCAAATATATGCTTTAGTCTATGAGGAAAATACTCATTTTCAGGTGGTGTTTTTTTAATTTGTCATATTTTTGCATAACTAAAATTGTTTAAAGTTAAAAAAACCAGGGAGGTCTGCAAGTCCATGGCATCTGCATCACTCAGAAAAAGACAGAGCGCTGTGAAATCCACAGGTCTGATTTACAGAAATCTTAACTCATCTGAATCCATAACAGATTTTTTCCAACATCCTTTTTTGAGGGTATGAAGAACGATGGGCATTATAACAAGATGAACAGGGCTAGCGGACCAAAGAGTGAATCTGCCATAGAACTGTGTTATGTCTGGGCTTGGAATTATATCAAATATTTTGTTCACTATAGCTGAAACACAAGGTCATCTTCAAGTTACTAAACTGCAGGACACTTTTATTTTATTTTATTTTCAGTATTATTGCCCTGTCCTTAACAATGTTTCAAGATGGCTTACAACATAATTAAACAAACAATAAACAGAAGTAATACAACCAACATAATGAACCAAAATGAGGTAAAATGTGACTAAGCATGACACTAAAAACTAGTTTAAAATTTAAATATTAAAATGCTGGGCAAATAAAAAGGTTTTTACCTGGTGCCGAAAAGAATATAACGTTGGCTCCAGGCAAACCTCTCTGGGGAGCACATGCTGTAGCTCAGTGAAAAAAGCCCATGCTTACCATTCAGAAGACCCTGGGTTCAGTCCCTGACAGTTCTAGGTATAGTGCAGAGAGATTCAAGGAGCAGTATATATAATGACCAGCTTCGGGCAATACAATAATCCACACTCAAGGATTGTGTTTGGGTTGCCAGGGAACCCTGGTTTACCATTTGTCCAAACTCAGCCGTGCTAACAAGCCATGACTTGTTAACCACAAAAAATAAAGAAATGCCATAGTTTGTTACTGGGTTGTGAACCCTGGGTTGTTTGCTGTGGTTTGTTATCTCAGCTGCATTCAGACAATAGCCCATGTTTTAACAACACCCCAACAACAACAATGCACATTTAAATCTTGACAGTAGGTTATTGCGGTGTCTGAAGCCAGTCGCTGTTTCTGAGATAGATGGACCAATGCCCTGCTTTGATATAAGATAGCTTCTTATGTTCCCTCTACCTCTGCTAGTATCTCATGTAACCAGCAGCATTAGTGCAATATTTTGCCTGTGTTTTAGGGAGCTTAGCAACATAAAATTGCTGCAGGCTAGTTTGCTTATTGGTTGTAATTAACAGAAGATGTGGACTTCACCACTGGAAGGATGACACATCTCTTGAAGAAAACTTTCTTGTCAGGGAAGATCCTTGTCATTGCAGAGTGGGAAGGGGACAAGTTTCACCTTTTATCTGTTTTCATTTTGAAGGATCATTTGGATACTCTGTGGCTATAATGGAGTGTTCAGCCTCAAAAGAAGCAAAATACATTGAAATAAGCACTTTTTTAAAATGGTTGTAGACATGCGGGGATGAAAGGGACAGAGCATGTCATTCCTCATTGGTAACATCACAGGCAGTGTCCAATACATGCCTGCAACATTCACACAGCAAGTGTAAGAACGGATGGGGAAGCATGGCTTTTTCCCAGCATAACCTTTGCAACAAAAGGCTTGGCCTGAATTAGGACTCCTGGACCCCATGCAAGTTAGGAGGAGCCACTGCTCAGCTTGTATGCTTAAGACTCGGCTCTGCCCAGAAAAGCCTTGATCCAACTCCTTCCCTATCCCATGCCTTAAGCTAAAGTGGGAGGTAGCAGGTACCTACCTTCTAACACAGGATTTGACTGTAGCAGCTGTTCCTTCACACGATTCACCTCCTCCCCTTTTCCACATACAGCTGCCACGTAGGACATGATCAGCTTGCTGGCCTCTGGTGGAAAACCCAGTATCGGGATCAAGGACTAGATTAAGCATTTAGAACTGAGATAAGGCTGAACGCAGCTCATGTTTCCAGCACTCATCCTGCATGCCATGGACTTCCACTTCTGTTGCAAAATGTGTGTGGCGTTGTTCATGAGTGCCTGGTGTGATTCCAGAGGAGTAAATTCAGCTGGGAGCAACCTTTCCATGCTATTCTACATGGATGAGGAGGTATGCTGGAGGGGGAGAGAACGGTGGAGCACAGCCCCTGGCGATCTGCAGACAGCATGTAGCAGAAGCAGAATGGACCTCCTGATCAGCTTTCCCAACCTGGCACTCGCCAGATGTTTTGACATACAATTCCCATTTTGACTTACAACTGGCCATCCTGGCTGCGGCTGATAGAAGCTGCAGGCCAAAACATCTGGAGGCAGCTTCTGGAACCAGAGGCAGCTCTATATCTGGGGCAAATGGGGTGGTAACCTCTCCCCTACCCACCTGTGGCAGAATCCCCTCACAACCAGGCACTTTTGTTCCAACACGCAGCGTGTACCTGCAGACTGTCATGTATGATCTTCTCCTGCCCCTCTCTGGCAATCGCCATAAACTATTCTGTGTTTTCCCTACCCTTTGCTCCACAAGTCCCAGTGAGCACCAGCCACCACTGGCTGTAGAGTTGCCATTTTATTTATCTTTTTTTTAAATTAGATTTATATGCCACTCGTTTCTTACAAATCTGACTGGCTTACATCATTCTCCTCCTGCTGCTCTCTTTCTGATCCCACTTCTTATCTCAGGTTGGAGTGGGAGTCTGCGAGTGGCCCAAAGTCACCCAGTTGGTGCCATGGCCAAGCGAGGACCAGAACCCAGGTCGCCCGAGTCCTACGCTCTTAACAACTACACCACTCTGATTTTGAAATCAGCCGCTACTTCTAAACAGGTGGTTTATTTCAGTCCCTTCACACACCCTTTTCCTCTGTGGCTTCTACAAAGTAGAAGCACATATTTGAGCAGCCTGTTTTTATTTCAACTGGGGTGAGCAAAACGCACCGATGATCTGTAGCCGAGCAGCAAGAGGTCCTGCATTGCAATGGTCTAACAATTGCAACAACTAAAATGTTTTTGCATCCCAGGGTTAGGTTACCAAATAGAAATACTTGTGGGGTGGAGAATGAGAACTTGATTTTTGTGCAAAAGGATTTTTGTGCTTGATTCTGCACAGATTGGAAATGACAGCTCCTTGCCTGTCAGCTGATGTCTGCCTGCCCAAGTGGTTGCAGTTGGGGGATCTCACACTGTTATTCCAAAGCACAGTCATTCCTCCAGCCTGACGTCTGCCCACCTTGGACTCAAGCAGCCACCCACAAAAAATCTGGCCCACCAAATCCATGCCATTTAGGCACAGAGCAATCCAACACAGTCCCTTTCCCCACATTTGCCACTGCATTGTATCCTCTGCCTTTCCCCCAGACGCTTAGATTCTCTCCTCCGTGCCAAGTGCTTCCTTTCAGAATTCCCCCTGCCTTTGAAGAACGCAGGCCGTCCTGGCTCACCTGTCTTCCCAGCCCCGCTCTCACCAGTGATGAGCACGCACTGGTCTTTGTCCCGATCTCGCAGTGAGCGATAGGCGTCATCCGCGATGGCATAACTGTGCAAACAAGAGCAGAGGAGTGTTTGGAGGACCGACTCACTCTCTCCTCCAGGGTAATGGGGAGTGTTTCGCCCTCTTTCTCACCATCTCACTTACATGTGGGGTTTCACAGCAAAGAAGTTGCAGTTCTTATACTTCTCTATGATCTCTGGTGAATAAATAGGTAGTGGTTCATACGGGTTCACGGAGATCACCACATTCCCAATGTAAGTCTGTAAGGTAAGAATGATATTCTCATTCTGAACAAGACAACAACAAAATACTGGCAGTGTTCACATTATGGGAGGGGTGGGAGGGACTTAGCGAGATTCACAAGCCCCGTTGGTTGATTCCCCTCCCAATTTCAGCTGTATACAATGTTGCAATTGCATCCAATTGCAGTCTAATTTGAGTCCCATTCATTTCAGTGGGTCCCTTTGAGATAGGACCAGTACTAGATGCATCTCTAATGCCTCCCTCCTGCCCCTCTCATTCCATTCCACATCATCGTAGAAGCCTCTAGTTTGCCACCCAAAATCATCCACCTCTAGAACACTCTTCCATCCATGTGTGACAATTTCTAGAGGTGTGGCAGTGATCACCTGAGGATTGTGACAACTGGTGGAACATCTCTCCTGACCTCAGTCTACCCAGACACGGCAATCAGCACCTGAAGCTTCCTCCAGGCTGTCACTCGCAAGACTCAGAGGGAGGCAACAAGCCAGAGGCCCTTCTCAGTTGTGGCTGCCAATTACAGAATCATCCCTGTACTGAGGCCTGCTTGGCACCGACGTTGCCATCTTTTTGGCACCAGGTTAAACCTGTCCTTTGCTCCCAGGTTTTTGATGGCATGTGATGGGAGAAGTCATGCCTATGTTTTATTGTTTTAATTGCTTAAATGTTGCATCCTGGAATGTTATGCTGTTTTATTGTATCTGTACTGCCATCCATTTTTTATTATTGTGCTTATGTTTATGAACTTTTGTGAAATGTCCAAAGAGCTTTGGATATCGGGCAGTATTGAAGTGAAATTGATGACGACAACGATGCCGTAAAAAGAGAGTCCTGTAGCACTGAAGACTGACAAATGTATTCAGGCATAAGCTTTCCTAGACTATAGTCTACTTCATCAGATGCCATAGCAGATTAAATGTGTTAGAATTCAAGCTGCCACAAGACTCTTGGCCATTTCTCCCATGCAAACACCTCTTTAAAACATACTTGTTCACACAGGCTTTCCCTAACCTGTAATGCCACTGCCCTGTTTTATTGTATTTTTTCTGTAAAATTTTAAGGTACTATTTTACATTGGTTTTATATAGATGTTTAATTAGATGTTTTAAATGGGAAGGTGAGGAAGCTGTATTGCTCAATACCTGCCTCCAGCACCTGCTCTGTTTCCATGTGGCCTAGAGGCATTCTTGAAAAAAAAAAAGGGAAGTAAATGGGCAAGATTGGAAAAAAATCTCATCTGGAACAGGAAATGGTGGTTTCAAAAGAACCATTGGTTTTAATGTTTGAAGCCCAAGGTCTGCTTTGCCCTTGGAAACTTGCTGAGAAAAGCTACTTTTCCTTTAATCTCACCAGTTTGCCTTCTGGGTACTGAAGGTACTGAAGTAATGGGTACTGGGTGCCTGGCAACAGTCGCCACAGCATTCATTGTGTGGACAGATGGGATAGGTAGGGCAGCCATTTTGTGCAAGTGCCAAAGAGATTCGCTCAGTATTCCAAATGTGTCCATCAGCCCCCCAAAAGTTGGGGATACCAGGTTTAGGTTTTGTTTTTTTAAGAAGCAATAGAAAAGTACAACTAAATAGCCAATTCAATACAAGTCTCCATCTCTGTTCTTCCCCTGCCCTGCATCCCTCTTACATAGATTTCCTTATGTCGGAAGCGTTCCTCCAGGTTCTTCAACAGAGTATCTTCGCTCAGTGGGTCCAACAGTACCAGGTCTCCAACCCCCACGGTGTCGAGTACTGCCATGGTCTCCATGGCTGTGGGATGAAAGGAATTCCAAATGCAAAGGCCAGCCTGGAAGGCAGTGGGACAACCAGATTAGATCCAGCGGAATCTCCCACAGAAACAGAGACATTCCCATTGTGGAAGGTGAAAAAGCTGCTGTAGGTGCTGGAAATGTACAAAACCAGAGACAAAGGGTGAATATTGTTCAAGCCACAAAGTCTCACATGAGGGTTTTTTTTTTTACTCTATTTAGTTAGTTTGTTTATTATTTAGAGAGCCCTGTCAGGCTATTCAGCAGCCTATAAATCTGAAAATAAAGTTTGACATAAATAAATGAGAGAATAACTATACAAGTAAGATTTCATTTTCTTTGCAGAGCTTGTTTAAACTACATACATAAATTTGTATGTATCCATTGCAAGGAACTCATATGAAATGCATGTGAAAATACAACTAACTAGCACTTACTAACATAGACTACTAAGATGACCCATAGTGTGGCCTAAAAGATCACTTTCCAAGTCCTGGCACAGAAATGGATCCTTTCCCACAATTCCTCTTTGCAACTTTTAAATCCTTCCAGAGTTTTTTTTTAATTATTCTGTTAAATAAGAGGAAGCTTCCATACATCAAACAGAAAACAAAATGTAAGCAACAGTTTAATCTGATGCATATCTCATGGACTTGCTACTCTTTTATGTGCAACCGCATTATTTATGTTCATCCCATAAGCTGCCGTGAGCCCTTTGTAGGAAAAAGGCAGGATATAAATCGAATAAATAAATAAATAAAGTGTTCTCTCTGTTCCTAGTTTGTGAGTTTGCAGCCTGACTTCCGCAAATGAGTCTTGACCATGCCTCCACCCAAAGCTGCTCTGGATGGTTGGTGTCCTTTATCAGTAATGGGCAATTCTGCAGCTTTATGACCTTTGAACCTTTTCTATCTGAGGCAAAGAGCAAGGTGGCAACCACACCCTCATTCCATGTATAGCATCCACCTGGGCAGCTGGACAGCAACCTGTCAGGGATGCTTTAACTTGGAGCCCTGCTTTGAACAGGGGCTGGGCTCAATGGCTCCTTCCAATTCCACTATGTTTCTAGACAGGCAACTGAAATTAGAATCAAACTGTAACAGTTTGCACTATCCTATGTGTTTTTAGACAAAAGTCTTACAAAGCCCAGCATAACACAGCCAGGGAGTTGTAGGACTTTTTTCTGTCTAAGCATGCATTGGATTTCACCTTAAATTATGTGGTGTGCAGTTCATGGCCCAAGTCTGGACTGGGGCCCCCAGACAGTGTGAGGGGATGTTAACCCCACACCAGTTACCTGCTTCCCATTGTTCTCCAATTCCTATGCACAAGGATTTATTAAAGAAACAAACCTCTACGGGCATCAAGAGAGTCCTTGTTTTCCTTTTTAAATTCCCTTTTCTTTTCCAAAAAGGAAGGAAGTGGCTGGGGCAGGTTAAACCTGCCTTCCCGGTGTTTGGCGTTTCAGGGCTGCTTACTTTTCCTTTATAGTTAGAGAACAGAAGTGGCATCACATCCTCATCGTAACTTGCCTTTTGATACTTCGACACTGGTGATGGCACAGCTTCCTCACTTGAAGCTGGCTTGCACAGGGGATGCTGGGAAAATAGAAGGAGACTGCATCCCTGCCCCCCAAAGCTGCCACTTGAGGCATCTGCCTCACCCTGCCTCAAGACTCTGCTGGCCTTGGGAACTTCTCGCCACGCAGAAAGAGGATGCAGTGATGCCACCAATGTTTTCACAAGCAAGGAATGGAGAGAGAGGCACTTGTCAGCTGCCCCGCGCCTGTGGGACCACCTTCCTTCAAAATCCAGAGCTGAGCCAATGTGAGCCACTTTGTTCAGACCTTTAATGTGAAAGGTAACAGGCTTGGCAGGCATGGAAAATCTCTGAGCCCTTGGGAATGGGACAGTTGCATCCAGATAAATATCTCTGTACGTGGACGTATGGCTAGCAAAAGTGCATTGAGAGATCTTTTATTATGGCATTGCATTGATAACCTACTGTGTTACCTCTTGTGGGGAACCCAAGCTGGCTTGCTTAGCTCCATTTTATCCTCAGAACAACAAGCCTATGAGATAAACTAGACTGAGAGGGAGTGACCAGCCGAAGGTCACCCAGTGAGCATCATGACAAGTGGGAACAAGAATCTCCCAGATACCCTGACCATCACACCACGCTGGCTCTCACCTCTTGAAACACATCCTGAGAGAGTGTGAATTCCACCCCCTCATCTAAACCAGACCAGAACTATTTATTTTCAATTACGTCTGTTGCACGAAACATTACAAAGAGCTTTACAGCAACTTAAGAGATAGACAGAACAATCCGCTGGTGCCTAGAAAGCTTCCATATTCCCAGTTCCAAGATGGGTAAACAGGTGCAGCCTCCAACCCTCTCCTCTCCTTGCAGGCAGCACAGAAAGAACCAGGTCAGCTGTATCTCCAAAGTCATAAAAGTGACCCTGGAAAAGGCAAAATGGGTGCAGACATGAGAGGAGAACAGCACTGCCAAGGGATGATGCTATCCTGACGGCACTCCAGCCTCCTTCCTTCTCCCTAAGAAGCACCACAGTTAAACGGCTGAAATCAGCTCTCAAGCAGGGCAGGACGTGCTTGGGGACTCTGCACTTTCTGCACAGTTTATTAAAGCTTTTGCCATGCCATGGTCTCAAAGAGGCCACAGGACTAATGACTGGTGAATTTACACTGCTGAATTTGTTATTTCTTCAAAAAATAACACAGTCACCCATGTTAGCTCGAATTTAAACCAGACTTTTGCTCCATGGCATGAGTTTTGTGCATGCACCAAATATCGATGTTTTTCTTGGGAGCTGCAGTTTGGAAATGTGTTCTGTGGCATGGGCATACACATTGCCACAATACATGCCACCTTCCTGATTCATTGTTTGGCATCTAGGCCAACCAAATCAACGCATGTGCAGAAATGTTATCATTTAGAGACAGATCGCATTTGCTGCAGAGCTCGCAATCAATCCTGAACCAATCAATTCTGAATGGATAGTGAATTCAGAAACCCCCAGTCCAGGTGTGTTACAAAGGTAAGGCTTGTGAATGGACACATTTCAGTGAGCCTTCTAATGACAAAATTCAGCTGCGCCACTTTGCAAGACTGTATGTCGTGTCCATTCAGAAACAACGCAGAGCAGCGACATCCGGTCTGTGTTTAGTAATGAAAGATGGATGGAGCAAGTTAGCATCATTACAAATGCTGCCTTTCCATCCTGGGGAAGCAGTGGCTATGCGGAACAAACCCAGGGAGGGCCAAAAGGTTGCCAGCTCAGGAGTGCTTTGTTAAGACTGCCAAGCAGCAGCCTCCCCACACCCGGCTCGCAGTGATTCCTAGGCCAGCTGACAGCTGTTGGCGGCCTAGCTTCCTGCTCTGAAACACCAACATCCGTGCAAGCCTGGGGAGGTTCTTCCTAGTGGCATTAACCCTTTCCTGCTCCTTCTGAAGCCTAGTTTATTTTATTTATTATATTTATATCCCACTTTTTTTCCTTCCAAGGAATTCAAGGAGGCTTCCCTAATTCCCCTCCTCATCTCAGTCTGATCCTCACAACAATGACTTTGAGTTGTAAGCCATCCAGAGACTCACAGCGTATTGGACGGGGTAAAAATACCCAAATAAATAAACAAACAGCCCTTTGAGGTAGGCTGGGCTGAGAGTCTGTGACTGGCCCAAAGGCACCCAGTGAGCTTCATTGCTGAGTGGGGACTAGAACCCAGATCACCTGAGTCCCACACCTGTGCTCTTAACCACTCCACCACACTGGCTCTCTTATTGCAGGAAGCACCCTTGGAACAGCTTCCTGGGCTACACAGCTATAGTGTCAGGCTCAGAGTCAAACCAGAAGAGCCATTAGCACTCAGGATGATGAGGAGGAGGAGGAGGAGAACTGCAGGTAGAGCATAGGTTCAAGCAAAACTCATTCTGCAGTGACTTAAGTGCACTTAAGACAATAAGTGCCATTAAAATCAGCAGGACTTCTTCTTGGTAAACATGAATCTGATGGAGGTGCACAAACCCTACTAATTTCTGGAGTCCAAACTCTGCACAGCACACAGTTTGCCTGTGAGAGGAAGTGACTCGAAAGAGTGATGTCAGTTAGCCATTTGGCCGCACTTCTGCATAACTAGGGTGGATGTCTTGCTCTAACCTGCCGATGGGAACAGTCTCAGGGGTCACACTGCATCTGTGCCAATGATGGAGTGGGCAGGGACAAATGTTTTTATAGCCATTGTAAGCATGTCTACTCAGAAGTAAGCAAGCCTGAATCACTGAGCAACATTTCCAAATAGCTCACCAGGTACCTTGGCCCAGTCACACATGGTCATCCTAAACAACCTCATAAGGTTGTTGGGAGGAGAAAATGGAATGACTCCCCCAAGCAACTTGGAGGAAGTCCTGCATAGGAAATAAACAATTTATGTCTGCAGTAAATTCCTGTTGTACACGCAAATATGTTTTGATGCAGCATTTTTCATAACAATGTTGTTGTAGCAGCCCTGTAGTCACACAATAATCCACATTATAGCTACTACTGCCTTCCACATGTTCTTATGGAAACTGATCAGGATATAAATATGGTAAATAAATAATATAAATTATTTTGAAAGTCTAACCCAGAGGCAGGCATTCTATGGATCTCCAGATGTTTTGGGCTGCACCTTCCATCATACCTCCCCATTTGCAGTGCTGGCTAGGATGGATGGAAATTGTAGGTCAAGGCATCTGGAGAGCCACAAGTTGCCCACAGCAGGGATAGATGCCCAATGCCTTCCTTGCATCCAGTCACCCAAGATGCATAGCTAAGTGACTATCTAAAGCTGACTTTCACAGTTCCTGACCCATCACATTATCTGGTGATTGTTAAATGGTCGTCTAATGCATGGTATACTTGTGTGGCACTACCAGGCAGTTCTCAAGAAAATAGGGTTGCCAGATTCTTCTCTGGATAATATTTAGTATATAAAAC